GTGACGCAACCATTTGTTGGCGTGGCATTTTGTTAAAGAGAGCTGTTCTCTCTCACAATTGGACACTGAGAGGAAAATTGAGTGCTTTCGACTTTACACTTTAGAGACAAGTCACGAAAGAGACTTTTTTTATCAATCCCAAGAATTTCATTCTGAAATGTCATCAAGAGCCAAAGAAGCAAGTTTAGTTTAACAAAAGTGAGAAATTTTATTCGGATCTCGAGTATTTGAGACATTAAACACGGAATAAAGTGCTTTTGGAGCACTTTCTGAAATGAATAATGGGATAGGGAGAAGCTTTTGTGCAATTTTGCTGCATTTCACATTTCTTACACTCAAATTAATTGTCTGGCCAGCAAGGTTTCGCGGTCACATCGAGTAGAACATACATTAGCACATTCGTCGTAGTGCAGCGCGATGAAAAATTCACATTGTCGCTCTCAATGGGAGTGTGGTTTGTGGTTTTACGCTGAGGTGAAAGCACGAGGAGCAGCACATGGAAGAAAATTACTGGATGAATCAATATCGAACTGGAAGTCATTCCCATGTGTCGTCCACCTGATTTTCCGCTCACATCCGCGGCAATTTATGTTCCTCGCCATTCGGCATGTAAAATCTGAGCCAAGAGGCGCCTGGCGAGGGCGCCAAAGCTCATGAGGAAAGTGGATAATTCATGAGAGAGGAGCAGAGGGTGCTTCGCTGGCTGCTCTAGAGAATGTCTCAAATTTAGTGCTTTGCAGTCATATTTCCATATCAAAAACCACAACCAAAGGATAATATGTGGCGTGGTGAGATTTGTGTGCTGCAATTTGGCTCAGAGTGTACATTGTGGGATAGTCCCGCGAAAATTGAAGCGCTGACTTGGTGTGTAATGAATAAATTTCTTAAAGACCTCCTCCGCTGGTGAATCCTTAATGCCGAGGGTGCCAATGACCATTATGGTTTGCGACGAAGAGCGGCGGGCGGCGGCTCTGCGTCGGCGCCGGGGTGGACATCGGTGGGTGGCAAAGCTCGGCGAAGGGAGCGCAAAGAGCACCCGAGAGAGAGCTAGAGAAGTTCGTCTCTAGTGAATTTCTAGACTTTCAGTCAATCGCGAGCATCGCGACAACTTGCACGTTCGCTGCGGAAGACCGAGAGTCCACAGTGTCCGATTAATTGATTTTCCTCACCCTTTGGGCAGCACTTGGGGCACCTGAGAGATGCCTTGCGAGGGCTCTCGAGCGGAATTACGGCGGTCAGAGTGGCTGGTAGAGATGTGAAAAGGGAACTTTTGTGCTAAAACGGCCCCCATCTTGCTCCAGTGATTACCAGCGAAAGAGGTGAAGGCAGTGATTAGCGGACGTCTCCACGATGCTACCCGGGAGTATTTGACGGCGACGGAGTGTCTGTGGGACGCCCAGGAGGTGGCGGATGTGCGAAAGTGTGCGAGCTGCAGTGCTGAAGACTTTTCACCCATGGGCGGATCAAAGATGGTGCTCTGAGACAGCTCGCCAAGATGAGTAAGACGGGCAGCTCAGACAGCACCAGCGTCCCCCTGATAATCACCACAAATGAGTGCGGTGGCTCCGCCAAGGCCACCACCGTGTCCACGAGTCCTGACTTTGGCCCGGAACTGGACAACGTGAGTTTCCGCGCCCCAAAGTCCTGCCGGAGTTTCGTGCGATCGAAAAATCTCGCTAGCGAGCATCGCAACAAGTCGGTGCCGCACAATTTGCAGGTTTGACGGAAGCCAATCACCCCCCGGTCCCACTTGGAAGTGCTCCTCTCCATCGGGCCCCACTCAGACCCCCGCTGAGTGATTCACTCACAGCCGCCCCGCAAATCCACTGGGGATTGCGTGAAAAATCACCCGCTGGAATTTCGTCTGAGCCTTTGATCCCCCCGAATAGCGCCATGCCTAATGCCTTGACTCACCGAGAGGCTTAGAGATGCTCCCCGGGACAGGGGGCTCGCCAACAGGAGCCGCCAAGTCGTGTGAAATTGCCCGCCGGAGCGCATGTGCGGTGTGAAGCTTTGGCAAAACATAACATAAAACCTCTGTGCCCTCACACCACGAGGCGTGAGATGAACAAAAGCTCAACCAAAACACTTCTCAATGGGTAGTCAACTTCACAATTGGCTCCAACTCCTCGCCCTGACCCCGATTGCATACATTTCGCGTGTCCACGCGGGTCTAATTTCTAATTTCCATGCCAAACATAAATACTCCATCAACAATGTATGGGGAAATGAAAAGGGCAGGAAATCAACTATGTGGGGGTGGCGCGAGTTTAGCAATTAACTTTCTCCAAAAGAAAGGAATAGCGTAGAAGAAGTGGAATGTCCACCTTGGGAGAAACTTGAGCTTTGCGCTTGAGTGGGTTTAAAGAACTTTGCCAAGTATTTGTCCGGTCAGTCGGATTTCCCCTGAGTGAAAGTTTTCACAATTATCTCTAGTCGAATTGGAGAACAGCAGAGATTAATCTTGACGCCAATTAGCATAGAAACACAATTAGAAAATTGACAAAACGACGATAATCTAACTTCTAATCCTAGAATAGAGTGCAACAATTTTCTCTTCCGCAAAGAGCAAACTTTCCCATTTTCCCCCTGAATACAATACACATTTAGCGTTAGCATAACAAAGCCTTCCATTTGACCCTTGAGAGAGAAAATTTGCACCACTTCTAGACACGCAGATGCTGCAAAAGACTATTTATGCCAACTTAACTATTGGGATTAGTATAATTACTACTCCATTATTCTAGTCACATCCCGCACTTAATAGAGTCTGAAGATTGGATATTAATTGAATGCAGACAAATTGATGAGCTGGATAGTAATAAAGCTCGTTTATGGCATTTGCAGCAGATTAATGGCACGAGACTTCCTCCAGGGCTACTGTGAAGTTAGAGTCAGGAAATATACCAATCATAAATCATGCAGAAAGTAACTGCATAGACACTATTTCTGTGAGATTGGAAGAAAGTCCTTGTGGAAAGGGAGAGTAGAAGTTGGCATTCTGAGAGTGACTTGGCTAATAAACGGTCACACTGCCAGACAGCCCGGCGTCGCGAGGGAATAGATGTGGAAGAAGTGGATGGCGGAATCAAGGGCGACAATTAAAACACCCTCTAACGCATAAATTATGCAGTGCGTGTGTGAAAAAAAGCGGACGGTTCAAGGAAAATGAAGGTCAATCCCGATGATAGTGTCCGAGAGCGCACGGACGGCACTCAATATATTGATTATGAGTTGGATAAATGTGCAGCGCCGCGAAATGTGGTGGATTTATTAGGGGACAACATTGTGTTGAGCTCAGCGTGAGTGCGCGATGCGCAATCTTGAGGTGAAAATGTGTCAAAAGGGTGAAGCCAACGAGGTGTGAATGAGGATGAAAATGTTGGCGACATTTGCTGCCAGCATCCTAAAAATAAAACCCCCTTTCATATTGGCTTCCGTGGGACTTTCCCCAGTGCCTCGTGTTTCTCAATCGTTGGTGGAATTTTTATTACAACCTCCACGACCTCAATTTCACCGCCAGAAAGTATCACCGAGAGAATGGACGTGTAGTAGAAATTATGAATAGTTGACGTGTAGAAATCGATAGGTTTTTCACGTGATGCGGAACAGTTGGCGGGTGTTTAATTTATACTCCCTTTGAGCACTTCCAAGAGATATTTCACCCCCAGCTGAGATCGATTTTCACCTGCTCTCTTGTGGTTGAAAAATGGCTATATTTTTCCAACCATTTCTCTCTGCTGGGACGTGCTTTTTCTGGGACCGCACTCGCTCTCAATGTCTCGCGAATGTATCTGGATTGGTGATTGGTTTGTCTTCTCATTTCTTTCTCCCCCACCTGCGACTTAGGCCACAGAGAAATGGTCAAGTGTCCGCCTGAGTACAGATTCGAGGACAAAAGTTAAAATTGAAAATCACATTTCCTCACACTCAAATTTGAATCTCAACGGATTCGGCACGGAAAAGCCAAAGGCCCACCTTGGCAAAGAGGTAATTGGTCTCTCACCTTCTCCCCAGGATGTTAATTGCTAATGTATGGTGCACAAATTGCCTATTTCTCTGTAACACACAGCACAATCATTTACAACAACACCTCACACAAATTGGCCCTCGCATCTCATTTTCTTAGCCCATGAATTGCAGAATGAGTTCCGTGTATGATGGATGCTTTGTTTGAGCCCTTCCAAAACGCCCGCACGCTCGTCGCCAAGGGTTGAATAAATGATCGACAACAGCGCGGGCAAACTTTCAAGGGAAACATGGTGAAAGTCATTTATGCTAGACTCTCGAAACAATAACACTTCAATTTTCCGAATTTCGCCACGAGGGAGACGTTCTTTGAGAACGTCAATAAACACCTCATTGAAAGCACATGCGGCTCTAATTGGTGTGGGAAAAGCTCAAAGGTGGAAAGTTTACCTTCATGGGCTACATATCGAGGGATAACAGTGTATGTAAATTATTAATTTCACATCTGTCTGGTTTCGTGGTAATTCTCGACCAACGCAAAACCGCGTTGTTGAAATGGTCTCATTTATTCGAGGGCGAATTAGTAATTGTCGACAAGGGTAAATGATCAAAAGCTGCATACATTTGATTGTTATATCAAGATATTTGTTCAGAAAATATCCAAAAGAAAAGAAACACTTGTAAAAATGATGAAATTGCATAAATTCATGGATGAACATTCAATTTCGCAGAATTTCTACAAGATATGTTCATAAAGTAAGCACACTGAAGTGAATGAATCACAAAGGATTCTTCGCTTTGTGCAGAAGCATTCAAAGCCAGATATTCTGGAGAAAACTTGTTATTATTCCTTCCCTCTTGAGTTTTTTATTCCTTTGGAAAAGTTTCACAATGTTATTCCTTCCAACTGAGAGAGGACTTGAGCTCTCGCCAACAGGATCGATGACAGTCAATTAGACACACAAGCCATGGCATGAAGTGCATATAATGGGGAAATTTGATGTGACGAATCGTTGCATAAATCGTTTCAGGTATTATCTCTGGGCGCCGACGTTCTGCCCGAGTACAAGCTGCAGAGTCCACGGATCCACAAGTGGACCATCCTGCACTACTCACCCTTCAAGGCGGTATGGGACTGGATCATCTTGATCCTTGTTGTATATACAGCCATTTTTACACCCTACGTTGCAGCATTTTTACTCAGTGAGCCTGACTTCAATCAGAGACGCAATCGTAAATATGCTGACGACCCCATTGTGATAATTGATTTAATAGGTGAGTTTTAAATATATGTATTTTATGTACAACATGCGATCATGTGGAAAATCTCCGTGACATTCCATCACAAAATATTTTCCACGTGCGAAATAATCTGATCAACATTCAAATACCTGACACAAATTCAGCATGAATAAATCATGTGTGAAGTAGCAGATGACTTAAGGACAATTGACAATGTGTGTCCGTTTGCCGCGATACTAAGTGCATTTGATGTGTACATATTATATCTATATTTAACTCTTTTATTAACTCATTTTTCACAGTTAAAAAATATTTATATATAATCGTTTCATGAATTAGGTAAAAAAAAGAGTAATGAAAAATGTTTTAGGTAATAATTTAATCTCTACTAAATTTACTAACACGATATACACACAAGAGAGCACGTCAAAGTACACAATTTATGCACTCTCGTTACACATCAACAGCACCCAATCAAATATATGTCAAATATCAAATCATTAACATATGTTCAACACATTAACAAGGAATTGCTACTAAAAGCTAATGAAATTCTTCGGAAATGAGCATGAAAATTTTGTATAATTTTCTCTAATTGGCTATTGAACTTGTTCTTTGTGTCATTGACGCAAATTGATATTGGTTTTCGCTGCAATATAAAAAGTGTTTTTGTATTAATTTTCATGTTCTCCCATGAATTACATTGGCGTGATTCTCTCCTCTGTTCTCGTCAGGGGAAAAAAGCTTAATCGTTCATGCCGTAAAGTGAGGTTTATTTCCCGTCAATGACGGTAATAATATATTTGGAGGCGGTTCAAAAGTTTCCGGATAAATCAATTGGGGAAGTCAGGTAATAACAGTGCTCAACAGCAGCTCAATTGATTAATCTGGTAATTTCTGAGTCACATATAATACGATAATCGCATATTATGTCACCAAATCAGCTTTAAGGGTGGCGCTAAAAGGCTCAATTGGCGGTTAAACGCCGAGAAATATTGAGTGATTTTCAACTTAAGCCTTTTGGAAATTCGAGACCAAGGAAGTTCCTAAATGTTTTTGGGGTGTCGATAAAGTCACGGAAACACAGAGAAAATCAAGGGGAAAGTCACAAAGCGAATTTTGAGGACTCTTAATTGTCTCATGTTATATTTAATTATGCTATATTTTAATATATTCTGAATATTTAATCAAAATTTAAATATTTCATTGTTTTCCCCACATATCATCTACAGAGGGCAGCAAAGTTGGCGTGGGGGACGCTATAATATCCCATTTTACGCATAACTTTGTCTATCTTCTCACGTATTTTCACATTTTATGACTTCCTGACGTGATCAAGAAGATGATGATGATTTAATAATCACAAAGTTAATGATCACAAATTGCGAGTGACTTTCCCTTTGGAAAAATTTATGTAGAAAGATATAATTTTGGACAGAGCTTTCATTGAAAAACACTCAATACAGGCGCAACCACAGAAGCCACTAACCAACATTTTCAACGTTCTGTTTGATATCAAATAAAATGGATTAATTTGGCTTTCGCAACTGTTGTCTCTTTGCAGTGGATGTTACATTTGTGATAGATATTTTAATAAATTTTCGCACAACATTTGTTAACGGTCAGGACGAGGTTGTTTCTCATCCTGGTCGAATTGCGGTGCACTACTTAAGTGGGTGGTTTCTCATCGATTTAGTGGCAGCAATACCATTTGACCTCCTGCTGGTCGGAAGTGATACCGATGAGGTGAGTTGCTAATTCATATTTCTGCCCACGGTTCGCCTCTGCTCTCCTTCTCAGAGTCACTTCCTGAACCATCCCTCTATAATGTTTCACTCTCCCAGCCCTCTTTTAATGAGATCCTTGATGCTATATTACCATTCCGTTGGACGGCGTGAGCAAAACTCCGCCTGAAAGTTTTGCAAAAGCTCAAACTATCCGGTAATTCAGAGTGATGTATTTACTATGCAGAACATGTTATGCATATACTTTATAGTTTCTTTTCTCGATAAATCATTTATTTCCTCTTGTACACATGTGTATCTCTCGAGAACTTCTCATCGACTGATATCTATTAAGACATATCTTCTAAGTGGTCTGAATGACTCTCAGTTCGTTTGTAGGCATATATATTTGGTGTTAACCAATTTTGTATTGAATGTTTGCATCTAGAAACTTATTCTTCATTCCTGTCACTCTTCTTTACGTTTACACCTTTACTTTGTCACTCTGATATTTCCAAACTTTATTAACCATATTTAATTCAATAATTGAAATTCTCTTATCGTATATTGTACAAATCCTCGAAGAATAGTGTTTGAAAGAAGGATATAAAAGGAAATTTTGCGCTATTCTACAATTTGTAAATTGCTTGCTGTTCAGCGATTTTTATTGGTATTTCTTTTATTCGATGTAAAATTGGTTAATAAATTGAGTGAGAAGACTAACAATTTCCCGTATCCATTGGCAAAGGAGTCAAATCAAATCAATAAACAATGAATAAATCGAGGAAATTTATCGGGCGAAGGAGAAGCACAAAGAAAGAGAGAGAGAAGAAAAGAAGTACGCAATAAAACATCGAGTAAAACATATTCTGAGTTCTCCTTGCTTTGCAAGGATCAATTCAAAGAGTTGCCGAACTTTTTGGTTAACATATATATAGCATTTGGCTTACAAAGCTGCTTTCAAGACACAATTTTCCATTTATTGATTATTGAAAAAAAAAAAGAGTACATTTGAGAGATAAAAGTGACACAAGTGATAGATAGAAGGAAAGAGGTCATCATATATGGAAAAATGACGTCCGTTTTATGTATTTTTACAGCTGGGCTTGGATAAAGACGAGGTATTTCCATATTAAATTTTTTCCCCAATTCTATTCATCCAATTCTTTTATTACGAATTATTGACTTTTTAATATCATTTCAATTTATAACTCTTCATGCTACACTTCTCAATATTCACACTGTATTGATTTTTATCACCACCAATCGTACTGTTATGAGAATTTGCCATGCTTTTTAGTATACTTCTGTCGGACATTTTAGTCTGCCACGAGACACATCTCATTCACACAGCGATATTAATATGCAAATGAAAGATCTGTTAACACTCAAATTGGACCAATTAAGCACATGAATTGGCAGATTTATCGCATTTATATTGAGCCTAATATCTCACAATTGACATTATAAAAAGTCAAACAAACAAAGCGTAATGAATTGGAAAGATGTGTTAAGCTCCTTAAGTGGAATTATTACTCCTTCACTTGTATATTTGAAACTTTACAGCAAATGATATTCAAAATTGTTCCATTGCATTTGAAAGCTCAGACTCTTTGATTGCTTTCAAAGATTGGCGTTTCAATTGAATATTGTTTGTGCAATCATATGTGTGCTTTGAAATTACATAATATATAGCAAACGGTTTGCGACGTGGGCTTTCATGCACAAGCTTTTACCCAGAAGTTCCCCTACTGCGTGGAATCACTGTACAAAATTTACTGCATATGGCTGCTTTCCACTAAGCGAAAATCACCCAGAGCATTATATGATGAAAAGTTAAACATTTGTGACTCGCTGTCGTGTGTTCCTGTGATGCACTGTATTGTCACGTCCGTATAAAGATATTATTTCTAGCACCAACCACCCTATGTTTGGCACAGATAACAAATGTTTGGTTGAACCACAAACACTTTTACTAACCACACTTGTGGGATCGTAAGCAACTCAATATTGTTCTTACTTAAGTTTTGTTAGCAAATGGCATACAAAAGAGACACTGCAATATATACTCTTCCTTTTTGGTAATGCAATATTGTTCTTAGAGTTTCTTTTAAAACAACATTTATACTTGTGACAATGAAAAACTTTATACTCATTTACTTTCCACATGTAAATTTTGTCCTTTTTCCCCAAAATTCGCAATGTAAATCTGGGTATTGTATTCACAAAACTTCACACATATTTATTTCTCGAGATAATATTTGTGCACAAGGATTTGTCAGATAAGCTATATGGTCTGTTTGTTTGAAGTTTTGTGAAGGACACACTGCAGAACGGGAGGAAGGATTGGCAAATTGTAGAATTAACTAAGAATTGGTTTTATGCTCTATGGATTTTCTGCACAATTTCCCAAGACAAGAAATTGACTCAGTTCCAAGTGACATAACGCCACATATATATTTCCCCCTTTCTGTTGCCCTGATCCTTAGAGTGTGTGTTCTGTTTCGGCACCTCTTTGCAGACCACCACCCTGATCGGTCTCCTGAAGACTGCTCGGCTGCTGCGGCTGGTGCGGGTGGCGCGGAAGATCGACAGGTATTCCGAGTATGGAGCGGCCGTGCTCGTCCTACTTATGGCCACATTTGCTCTTATTGCTCACTGGCTGGCGTGCATTTGGTAAGGACACACTCTCTTCACACGCTGATTGCCTTGGTCCGCTGCCAACGGGTGACACGAATGCACGTCCCTCTTCTTTTCAGGTATGCAATCGGAAATGCCGAAAGACCAATCCTGAAGGCGAAAATAGGATGGCTGGATTCACTGGCGAGTGATAGTCAGGAGTACTATTTCCCAAACGGAACCGGGGGTCCTTCAATCAAGGTACTTGAAACTTTTAGGCGACTGAATTGCAGATAAGACGCTGTGTGGTAAATGGAGGGGAAAGAAGGCGAGGCAATAAAATCACTGCGGGAAATTTGTTGAAAAACACACATCTTCACAATCAATAACTCTACTTTATGTTGTAGGGGAGAGAAGGGTAGTTTGATACGAAAAAAATGAAATTTTATTCGATCTTTGGAATTGTCTCAATTATGAGCTTCAAAAGACCGCACGGAATGGGTTTATCCTTAGTTATCCGTAGAGTGAAATCCAAAAGCAATTATGAAAAAAGCCTTTAAATATCTAAAGAACAATATTTCAGGGCCAACAGATTATCTAATGGGCAGAAAAATTAAAGATTTTTTCATTGTGTTTTTAACTTAGCAGAGAAACATTTGACGGAAAATTAATTTTCTTCAATTCCTGCAAGAACGAATAACATGAAAAACATCAAAATTTATTAGTGCAATTCCAGTGAAAATACGGAACTGAAGTTCAATTTTCTGTTGGAGAAAAGCTTCAACAAAAACTCCGCAACTTTTCCCCAAACGTCATTACGTTGTTCTGAACTCTAAATGTGTTAGAAATTATTGGTATAGCCGAATGGACTTTATTGACAACGACATGTGAATACTGAGCAAGAAACTGAAATCGATCGATTTTAAACTAAATTGTTCCCCTCTCTCCCCTACGACTCTTATAATATTGTACTTAAATAGAGTCATGCAATTTAACAATGGAATAATTATTAAATCCTTCGGTCTGTGCTTCCTGAAAGCTCTCTCTCCCACATTCCGGAAAGTCTATATAAGCTTTTAATTAAATTGCAGCATAAATTAAATAGTTTTAGCACAAATTCTATTCGGCGCTTTTCAACCACAAAATGATATTTTCACATATTCTACTAAGATGGATTTACATTTCTCACCAGTCACGATACGTAACTGCGCTCTACTTCACCTTCACATCGTTAACTTCTGTGGGCTTTGGAAATGTGGCACCAAATACGGATGCTGAGAAGATATTCACCATCTGTGTCATGCTCGTGGGATGTAAGTTGAAATGCGACTCTGGGTTTTTTGTCTCCTTTGAAAAGGAACTAAATAGAAATTGTCTGCCAAAGCTCTCATGTACGCGAGCATCTTTGGTAACGTATCGGCCATCATCCAGCGATTGTACTCTGGAACCGCTCGATATCACACCCAAATGCTGCGAGTGCGAGAATTCATTCGATTCCATCAGGTAATTTGTGCGCCAAGGCGTCACTTGAATGTCACTCATGGCACTTTCTCCCATTCGCAGATACCAAATCCGCTGAGACAGCGACTGCAAGAGTACTTTCAGCATGCATGGACTTACACAAATGGCATCGATATGAATTCCGTTCTCAAAGGCTTTCCCGAGTGTCTTCAGGCAGATATTTGTCTCCATCTCAATCGCAATCTCCTCACAAACTGCTCCGCCTTCGAGGGCGCCAGTCCAGGATGTCTGAGGTGAAAAGAGGGCTTCTGGTAAAATGTGGTAAAGGTGCAAATAATTCCTTCCATTTTTTCCCGCTTCAGGGCACTCTCGCTTAAATTCAAAACAACCCACGCTCCTCCGGGCGACACTCTCGTTCACAAAGGCGACGTCCTCACATCACTTTACTTCATTGCAAGAGGATCCATCGAGATACTTAAGGATGACGTCGTGATGGCAATCCTAAGTGAGTTTAGCGGGCAAAAGAAGCACTTGAGAACAATATTGATTTCGTTTTATTTCAATTTTTCAACGCTTCGCTCCTTCCTCCAGGTAAGGATGACATCTTCGGCGAAAATCCCTGCGCTCACCCCACTTTGGGCAAATCCAACAGCAACGTTCGAGCTCTGACGTACTGTGATCTGCACAAGATTCACCGAGAGGATTTGCTTGATGTCCTGGAACTCTATCCAGAGTTCTATGAGAGTTTCGTCAATAATCTCGAAATCACCTACAACATGAGAGACGTAAGAATTTGTGCAATTTAGAGGAATTCCTCAATTCCTAATGATAGATTGTGCTCCTCTTCGAACATTCTTAGAGTAGAATTTAGTTGTGTGCTTAGTCTTCTGCCACAATACATTTTAATATGTCCACTCTCTATTTACTCTGTTGCTCTCCCAGGATGAACAAAGCGGTGTAGAGTTAAGGCATAGGTATATGAGATCGTCCAGCCACGATAGAGAACGCAATAGTGAATCTAGATCATATAGGCTGTAAGTGTCTTTCTTCTCATGTCTGCAGATCGTTTGATGGCAAATAACAAGACGAATATATTAGCACAGCTGCACTTTTTTGTAAACCTTCCCGATAATTCAATAAGCTTAAATATATTAAAAGCTCAGAATTGGATTTTATTTCCATCGCTATTGAGCGCTTTGAATTGCCCAGACAAGAAATAATGGAATAAATAACGACTGGCGACTGAGAAATTCATAAAATGGGAATTTCACTCCCATCCGCCAATTTCTCTATCAATTCTTCTCATTCTGCAGCGAAGCACTCACAAGAGATTAATATGATTGTGCTTGAAACTTGAGATAGTTCAATCACTTTAATACATAATTGAATTATTGAGTATTTGCTATCACACAATCCGGATTCAATTAAATAATACTGTGTGGGCCAACTAGAGATACTATATAATTAGAGAATTTGCAGAACTCATCCTTTTACACGACCAGAGAGTAGATGTGGTTTAGGGAACGATAGAATGTCGGTCAGTCAGATGAGTGATAACGATATTGACTTCACGGCCCAAGATCACCGCCAGCAGTACAGCATATCAGGTAATTATGCAAATTACTCCTTCACAATCTCTTGTGAATCTCCTTCAAATACCAAATACACCATTACACTGTGACATAATGCCAAATTATCTAATGAGAGAATGACCTGAAATGTAGGGATGTTTACACACATAAAGAGAAGTTTTCCCGATCTGAGATCCATTAAGCATCAACCGTTAGAAAATATTGGTAAGCTCTTATTAAAAGATGCGTGTTTTGCCTTTAATCTCATCTGTGTTTATCAGTTTTACTCTCTCCATTTTTATCTATGTTGTATTGTGTGTGGAATGGTGTGGATTTCCAGTGTCTCCTAAGGCAAACTAACTCACCAAAGATTTTAATTAAACAATGAACTTATAATGAGAATACATGACGATAAGAAACCACCAACTATATCTGCAAAGTTATTTTGCCTTTATTGTGCTGAGCAATCCCTATTGTTTGCTCCCGTGATTTTCCGTTCACAAGACACGTTTTCCAGCATGAGATTGAATAATGCAGTTGACATTTTGCCAAAAAGTTCATCATTTCTCATCCAACTTCATACATATATATGTGTGTATTTTCTTGTACCTGTACTTGTTCCTTTGTGTTTTCGATCCAGTAATTCGTGTGTCTCATAATGGCAGAAGTATCATTGGTAAACAGTTGGCTGTAATAATGTGAAATTCTTTATGGAAAATCGCAATGTATTTCAGTGTTCGCATAACCCATTCTTGTAACCTATGTGCTATGTGACGTATGCTATGCTGCATTGCAATTGTGATGTGATAACGCTGCGAAGTGTGCAGTCAAAGTATCGCCAATCACATTTATTCCCACATTCACAGAGAGTCCTCGGCACACGAACCACAAGCACAGTCCAACGGTTCAGTCGCTCAAAACCGCGGCCACCGCGGCGGCCGGCGTGACGGCAGACACGGTGACTCTGAGCGCCGTCACGACGAAGCTGTGCAATTGTGCGGCGTCCAAGGAGGGCGAAAAGGGTGACCCGACCATGTCTCAGGAGACAGTTAAGCCGCAAACATCCACCAACGATGTCACGTTAGTATAAAAGCCAAGAGGGAGATAATATACAGTCAGAAGTGGTGTCCACTTCAGTCTAGAAGTGTTGAGAGCTTCTGAATGCATCTTTTACTGACAAATATTAATAATAATGCCAAAAAACATCTCTATTCTGATCTTTAAAAGCCAAGAAACACTGCAAATTGTTCTAAGATCAAACATAATCTCAAAAATATTGATTTCAAATTGAAAAATGTTTATTTAAACAATTTTCTGGACAATTTAAGTCTGAATCAGCAATTTTGAGTTCATTGGAAAATCATAAGAGATGATTTTGTGATCTAGAAAACTTCCAAACTGAGTTTTTGAAGATCTTTTAGTGATATTTTAAGTTTATTTACTTAGAGAATTATTGAATGAATGCTTATTTGGAAGTCTGAGGAAATGGTGTACAGATTTAAACCATATTATCTTCCCCTTGTTAAAAGCCAGATTCTGAAAATTTTCAGTGAAATAACATTTTTCCTCGCCAATTATCCCGCAGAAGCCTCGCGAATCAGCTCAATGAGATAACACAACGAATAGATGGGCTCGAGATGACGCTGCGGAAGGACATCCGCACCATTCTTGATATTCTGCACCAGCAGCAGCAGATCCAGATTCAGGCCGCCGCCAAGCAGGCCATGACCACATCTTACCAGCCGTCCGAGAGTGATTTCTCCTTCGACATGTGCACGGCGGCCGATAAGGCGTCCGCGACGTCACAGACGCCGCGCAGCAATGTCCAACGATCTGTGTCTCAGCCGGAGTGCGCCAACGAGAAGAGCCTCTTCAAGTGAGTATACACTTTAAGGCCTTTCTGGGGATGGATTTTCCAACACAATTATGCATGTGAAAGTGAAGAGAGGAAAACTTCTTGGCATAACAAATCAATTAACTGTGGAATGTCAATTCAACAGGTGCTCGAAGTTTGCTTCATTCAACCAAACGATGGAAGACCCAGACAACTGGACAATGTTTGCGCCAATTGCCAAGCTCGAGTCTCTGGATGAAATTGATCAAGTGAGTCCTCAATTTTTCTCTCCACTCAATTACACTCACAAATTGATTCAATCATCATTTTTTGTGCAATTTCAGGATAGCAAACATTCCAACCAAGATAAATCACAATAGTAGGATATTATAGGGACACTTTTGTCCACTCTCTTGACAGCCTCTATAGAAATCTTTGCACATAAAGTTTATACTCAAAATGGTTCTGCTGAGACATTTTTTCCCGCAATTATCCTTGCGCTTCATGGAGATTTTCAATCGTGTGTGTGCCGGCGATCGACCTGCGGAGGTTCGTCTTCTTAATGGGATTATCCATCACTGCCTTCAGACGGGGGAATTCGTGGAAATCTCAAGCTATCGTGCAGCGGAGAAAATCAGCGTACGCTCAATTTAGTGGTGTGAATGGCCAGACATTACATAAATGAAGTACCTTAAGAAGCAAAGTAAAAGACAATTTGTTGCATTGTTTTGCCGCTGGGAAGACAAATGCAAAGTGGATGAGAAATGTGTATACTCGCAATAAGAAAAGTCTTTTAAAATTAAAGAATTTGTGTAAAGACGATCTCGAGATGACCTTAGTTAGTGTGCTATAGTGTGAGGGTGGCGACGTGACTTGGCAATCGCCATTCAGAGTCTGTGAGATTTAATGTAATTTTATGAGAGAACCATCCAAAATCGATTTTTCCAGCCATTTCCTCAATGTATAAGAGAAACTTCTTTTGCCTTTTGACAGTCCTCAAAGTCTTCTTCAATATCTCTATACATATATTTATCAGCTATATATAAAACTTATTTCTTAAAAACAAAAATACTCCCAATGACCAGATTTACTTGCTTTAGAGAGCATAAAGGGAAGCCTTTCGAGCTTTTGTACATGCGAGAATGCAAAAGAAAAACGCACTCAACGAAATGCAAGTGAGTTTAAGAGATGCTTCTGGATGGACACGCTTAATCCAGCAAGACGTGATTTTATTTTCTCCGTTTGGAGATGAGTTAGATGCGAAAGAGCAAAAGAATTAGCATCCCTTTTGACAACCGGACTGATAACAATTAGAGAGAATAGAATTTGATTTTACGAATTAGTTGAATTTCCCATCATTTAGTCAGAATTTAAAGAAAATTTTTAAAGTATAATCTTAGCAAATAGACGAAGAGAGAACGAAGTTTATCGACATATGCGATATTATAATTTAGCATTGAGCATGAATTCATTTGAATTACGTATATGAGGCCTTTTAGAGTGTAATAAGTAAATGGGGAGATTTGGTAGGAGCGATTCTTAATATTGTGAGCAGCAAAGGATGTTCATATTGGAAGAATTAAAGCAGTGAAAATAAAAATTTATATCAAACATTCAAATGGTTTCACGTTTTAAACAAAAACAGAGGAAATAGAATTATAATTAGTGAGAATTTTATTTCCATATCAAATTACACACACCGTTTGGTTTTTCCCTCTCTTTGTCCGCATAGGGAAAACTGTTCCAATTAGAGACAATTTTTCATCCTAGCAATAAATGAACAAAAAATCTACTACCATATATATGTATGTATCGTTGATTCTTTATTGCCACTTTCCGCAATAGTTTGTTGCATTTCCCGCAGCATTGTGGTAGCGAATTTTGTAGTTTTTACTCGTTTCAATATAAAAACAATTCTCTACGCTATCTTATCGAAATACGGTGCAAAAGTGGTAGAATTTGCCTCAATGTAGTATTTTTATATATATAATAAAATGAAGTGAGAGCAGTCATTTGAGGGTTTTTTGAGGGGTTGAAATAGCCCAAGAGGATAATCAAATTAAAACGCCATCATTGCTTCACCGAATAAAATGAATTATTAAATGATTATTATAATTACCATTTTGAAACCAAGAATCAATTTACCACAATTTTGTAAATATAAATTAAATTAAATATACCAATGAGATGAATAAGGGGAGGAATAACATGTTGAAGAAATATTCTTGTTGCTACATAAAATAAAAAAGACATTAATAAATGGTAAAACTGCAGATGAGGTGGAAAAAGGGTAAAAAAAAGAGCACAGAATAATAATGTCACACGCTTCAGGAAGATGAAATTGAGTGAAAAATTTGAAAAAAAAAGAATACACAAAATTATTCATTTACATTTGAAATTATACGAAAAGTGCGAAAGAAAAAGAGTTTTTAATAAAAAAGAATTAAAATAAAGCGAAATGGAATTTGTGTTTTAATTCACTTCAACCCCAAAACTCCATATTTTACCCAATATTTTAGAGAACCTGAAAAGAGTCGCAACGTGTTCAGCTGGGTGACAAAAATTATATCGAACATCCGCGAAAGCTCTATTCTTGCGATCGCGTGATAAACTTTTAATACACATTCAAAACTACTAATAATACCCGAAGTAGTGCTCGATAGTATGACGATAGAATTGGGTGATGGAATATTTTCTCAAGAGTCTCACATTGTCTTTCTCACTCACTCGCGCGGATTTTCCGCGCTATATTATTTCTTTTTTCCTATTTCTAGCATTGCAGATGTATTGTTGTGTCTATCGAGAAACTCCCTCGGAAGTCATGATGATTTCCACGCCGGGGGTGAGTGAATAGGAATTGGCGGGAAATGCTGACGGAGGTGTGAAGAAGCCGTGAAAGAGAAAAAGTATATTGCAAGTCTTTTGTCCGGCAGACAATAAAGCTTTTGCCGCTCTGAGTCACGAAGAAATTCGCGGAGCTTTCAGTTGAGCGCGAATCAAGGAAGAGTAGAGACGTGGTGCCTATAAGCTTTCGCATAAAGTGCCTAACAAAGTGCCTTACAGAAGTGTTTAAATCATGGAGAAATGGGATGTGCAGTGGCGTGAGGGGTGAAATTGAATTCTGCTCCAATATGAGGTGACTCTTGCGATAACATACATAGTGTGAGATTGGCAAAAGGGAGGAGATTATGAGACATCTCTGGATTTGGTGAGCTTTGAGGGATGGAAAATCACAGTCGTGGGCAAAATCCTTCTGTTTACCAGCAAACAACCTTATCTCCGGCACCCAATCATGGTCCTAATACAACAATTCTCTTGTCTTGCTCCATAAAGAGTGGATATGCTGAAAGCTCAAGATTCTCAAGAGCTCTCTTTGCACTATTAAACGCTTCTCCAAATAAGACGAGAGCTCCCTTTGAGTCCTCAACCCCCTTAAGAAATGGCTCTAAAAATACCTTGAGAGACTTTCTATCTTCGTAGAGCCCTCATAAGACACTCATTAATCATTTTTCTACAAGGGGTTTTAAGATAATTGAATTTCTCGCCACCGGAGAAGGGCACAGAAATGACGAAAAGCTTTAGCTACCCACTCTCGCTCACCCTCACGCTCAAATTTCCTGCATGATTTGTACCTCTTGCACAGTAAAATTCACCTAAGGCCGAAATTGTTGAACTTGAAGTTCCTTCTATCTGCATAAAATAAATACCCAGAAATAAATTCAATATCGTGATGACTTGACATTAAGGGCAGTGAATCTCTCAGAAAACTTGTTCCCCAACAAATTTATGCTCTATGGCAAATTAATTATATTATCCTTTGTTGCACTATTGTTTGTGCTTAAGCAAATTCGTGCGATGATGGCAGGATGTGTGCAGAAAAAGCGCGGCCCGTGGGGAATATATATTTAATAATTGTATTTCGCTTACCTCTCCATGTGTTAATTTACTCTATGATTCTGCATAACTCACAATTAACATGCAACTTTTCATACAGCGGAAAAACTTGTGCACAAGTCAGTCCTTCTCCCCGTCAATTTTTCCCCCAATATCGCAGTGAAATCACCAGAAGACTCTCTTCAATCTTTTCACAGCTTCTGGCAAGTTGGTGAAAGTTGCTATTTATCATTCTGCAATTTGTCATGACTTTCAATGAAAATATATTTAGATGTTGTTTGTGGAAAAATTTTCAAGGCTTCTTTAAGCCCAGATACGATGGAATGTAGAAAATTTGTTGCCTCATTCTGAGCAAATTTCAGGGTTGCGAAAAGGGTTTAATGAACTCACAGCAGAGAACGTATTGGAAAGATATTGAAAGAAGTTCCAATGAAATATTCAGTGAAGAGCGTAAAGTGTATTATGGACACACATTCCTCGCATTGATAAGATTTGCTTTTGCGGAAAGCTTTATTTGAGTAGAACCCATTGTTTGACGAACAATTCCAATAAAAGCCCCTCTATTTAATCGCCTTTGATCATCTCTCTGTTCCTCTTGCAGTGCAATATTCTCGATGATGTTCCAGCAGTCAAGCGCCATCAACTCTCGCCTCCTGCCAAGCTACTCCATGACCAATGACTACGACAAGAGCATGAGACCGAGTGAGTGTTAATGCGGTAATTCCGTTGCCACCCACTCAGCCGTTGGCGTTTAATTAATAAAAATGTAACCCTTTGGGAGACGCGTGTGTGGATAAAAATAGAGTCGCGAGAATAGTCAAAATACTAGCTTGGATATTCGCTTATGGGAACTCTCACGAGGGGATGGAACATTGGCCTCTGTACACGTGCTTTCAGCAATCAATTGTTGTGCAAAGAGATAGTAAAATGGGTGGAGTTCCTCCCGCTCACTTCTGCTAATTAATCCTTCTGCGCTCCCACCGGATTGGGGGTGGCGGAAGGTGATGATGTGGCGCACCGCTGTGACATTTTGACTGAGCGAAAAAGACTGAAGCGCTTTATTGACCACATTCATCCTCCGCTCTTGACGAATCTCGCGAATTTCCACTCTGCATCAATCGCAATTGACGCTGAATATTGAATTACTTGGAGTACTTCCACAGAATGAATCTTAATTACTTACATTGTGCGGCAATTAATTATCAGTAAGAGCAAATTGCAGACACAGCAAACACTACAGAACTTATCGCATCTCTATTTGCGCTCGGGGCAATTCAGCAGAATTTCCCCCGATTCTCTGCGGTGGATCAAAGAGTGAAAGTACAGAAGACGCAATCGATTAGATTGTTTGATGAGCTGCTATTACACAGAGTGCAACTAAGTAATTTCCATCAGGCTGGACATGATCGACAGTGGCGGAAGAAGGCAGACGTCTTCGTGAGCGTCTCTCTATCATAAATACACAAACTTGTCTTCTTCTGCACACTCTCTCGATATTTATATTTAATCAATATTATTGCTAAAGGTGTTGTGATGCATCCTTCCGCGAGAGCATCGTGGTTCACGTGAAGGCAATCAGGTCAAGGGCGCGAGAAACTTTTGCAAAATAAAAACTTCACGGTCAACCCCAAGACATTCCTTCTGATAAACTTCTTTCCTTTTGCAGATTCCCTCACGGAAGTGTCTCTCTCGCTGCTGGTTAACAGAATTTCCGGTGTGGATGAGAACAAAGAGGTGAGTTTGTCACTTTTCTCGCACAAAATATAAAGACAATGGAATATTTCTTGAGAGCAAAATCCCAGAGAAACATTGAACGAAACATGAATGAAACATGCAGAGCTTTTCATATTCATGAACGCTAACTCTCAACAAGTATCCAGGAATCTTCACCAAGAATACTTTGAGTAGTTAATTTATGACTCTCCGAGGCAAGCCATTAATCTTGCACAGTGAAAGTTTAAATAGTTTGTGCAAAACTTGAGCACAGAAAAACAACCACGTAATCTCAAAAATCTCTTCGTGTTTCTTTCATGGCACTTCACAAGTTCTTCCCTCAAAATAACATTGCCTATAGCGAGATAAATATTTTATGTGACTTGCAGGAAGTGTCTTTTGATGTTTTCCTGCAGATGACATGGGAGGACAGCCGCATCCACCCAGCAGGATCGTCAGATGAGGAACTCCGCACGAATGGCTTTCTGGAGTTGACGCTTGAGGAGCGAAATCGCATCTGGGTAAGTTCTTCGAGATCACCGTGAGCTTTATAGCCCAAATTCTTCTCTTTCTCCTCAAGATTCCCGATTTGTACATTCGGCAGTTGCGTGAAATGAAACTATTAAGGCTCTTTGAGGAAATTTCGAGCCTGCGACTGTATGAAAACAGCACAATAAATCTTCGCATTGGGTTCGTCACTCAAATCAATACCTAATTCATACTTTCTCTGACTCTTCTGCCTCTTGTGGGCACGATTATTAATTTTATAGCGCAACAATCATCATCAATTGTGACATGAATTTCGTGCTCTATCCTCTCGATGTGCAAAAGTGCCGTGTGGATTTCAGTAGTTGTAAGTATTTATTTAAGTTATTGCCTACAACCTTTGAGTATTTCACTCGGAATTTGTAATAAATCAAAAACCGCCAATACTTGAAGGCATGACAAGTGAATATTCACAAATCAACACATCTCTGTCACTGCCTTCAATTTGAAGGACCTCAAACAGGGGATTGTTAATATAGATTTCTTACAAAAAGGAATTTCAGATAAAGTTTTAGGGAAAATTATTGATATTGTGCGATTAAAGGCAACTTTATGGTTTTTAAAGATTTTTACATGTGCAAAAATTAGGAAGTTTTTCAAGTTCCACACATATTTTTAACGTTAAACCTTGAATAAAACCCGAAATTTTCGATTCATGATCAAGTATTTAAGCAATGTTTTCGAGAAAAACTGAAAAATCAATCTATGAAATGAATAAAAAAAAATGGAAATTATACGAAATAAACGCATCTCGAGTCAAGTGACACTGCATCCCCAATATTAGCAACCCCTTGACCTCAAGAGTGTCATCATCATGTCATACAATTAAAAACTGCAGCACATAACTTGCTAGATTGTTTAACTGAAATATATCCGGCGCTTCCATTTGGAGAGTTTTTCAGCTCGTCCTCCACTAAATGTGAAACATTTATTTGCACTGGGGGATGAAAAGTTGTGAAAACAAAAAGTTAATTCACTCTCATCAGACCATAAAAAGTTGCCAGAATTGAAATGAATTGTAGAAGTTTTGAATAGCAATGAAAGCTTGTGAATTCGACTAATAGCCATGTTTGCAATTCCAGATAGATATGCTGTGAAGGATATGACTTTCCGGTGGAAGAAGGATAATCCGCTGAGCTTTCCCAACGACTTTGGCGATGGATTCTTCCGCTTGCCACGCTACGTTGTCTCCTTCCACACCGATCCCGAGCCGAAGATCATCAGTTACGGCGACGGTGGGTAGAATGACTGCCTCTGATTTCATCCCTGGTAAAAATTCAGAAATCTGTGTGTGTGTTTTGCCCAGCGGATCACTGCTCAGCACGCCTGGAAATCACGCTGTCGCGCGAGGTGAAGAGCTACCTGCTGGAGAACTACCTTCCATCCACACTCTTCGTGTCCATGAGTTGGGGCAGTTTCGTCGTGGTGCCGGAAATCGTGCCCGGCCGGATGGTTCTCCTCGTGACCACACTTCTCTCCCTCGTCACGATGTTCGACACGGTGAGGAACAACTCGCCGGACGCCTTGGAGCTGAAGTGCATCGAAGTGTGGCTCATCTCGTGCACGCTCTTCGTCTTCCTGGCGCTCATGGAGTACTTCATTGTGCTGTTTGGCATTCGCTACGACAAACACTGGCGCACAGCCAAGACGAAGATCACCATCACCACGCCATCTCCGGTGCCGCCATCGACACTGTCATCGATCGGATCACCAGTAAGAGCCTCCTTGGCAAATGAGCCAATCCAGACACTTCATCGTCACTCCTTTGCAGAGAACGAACGGCCTGGAGCACGCCAATCGCATCTTCGCCACCGCCAACGTCAACAGAATCTCACCCGAGGAGCGCGGCAAGGAGCAATTGCCCAGCTCAACCGAGGACATCGGCTCTCTCCCCACCGTCAGTCCCAATCACATTCACAAGAAGAAGTTCCGGAACGTGGCCGAGTACGCTCTGCTGTACGCGGGCTCCCAGCGCGGCCGCCTGGACCAAATCTCCCTCATTCTCTTCCCCATCAGCTTCCTCCTCTTCACCACCATCTACTGGGTACTGTATCTCAGCGAGTCGCGCAAGAAAATGTGATATTCTCCTTCGCCGTCCTGCCAGGAAGATGCCTTCTCGACAGCTTTGCGCGTTATACGAGATTTTTCCTAAATAAACTTATCTATACTTCATCAAATATATTAAATTTTCTCTCTTCTCACATTCTTCTTCTTTTCACTTCGTCTTTTGGCCTCACTTGCCATTCCAGTAGCCCACTTTTCCATTCTCAAAGGCGAGATTTATCCTTGGCTGGGGAATTAAGCGTCCTATCTTCACTATTCCAATGTTTTCATCCTCGAAATACTACAAAAAAGAAGGGAAGAAAAGAAACACAACATTTTCCATGACACTTCATAAGAAGATAATTGATTCTTCTCACCAAACACTGAGATACAAATTGCAGAAACTTCCTATTCATCTCGCTATTGGACTCTTGAAGAACTTGCAGACTGGAGGGAAGAGAAAACAGTTAAGCAAAATGCATTAAACACTGACAAAATCACTCTTACTTCTCCTCAGACACAAGATGTTTCACCAGACTTTCGCAAATCCTCGTGTTGCAGTCAACATCAAAGAGAGGCACCCCAAAAGTCACATCCAACAGCGTCCAATCCTCACCAGAATACTCTCCCTTCACACCATCATCGGCATCTTCATTCGTTACCTCCACAATAGAGATTTCAATGGAACTCTGAGACACCAACTCTTTCCCACCGTAGCGCTTCTCATTCTGCGCCAACTCGGCCAGTTCCGTCTCCAGAAGTTCATTGCAATCCTCACTCCTGAACACATTCGACGGAGACGTGCTCTTGGGCGTCACAGCAAAGTGCTCCTCATCCGGAGACTTCAGTTTGGCCAATTCATTGCTCCTTGACTTGTGAATGGTGATCTCTGAGCCATCGAGTGGCGTCAGGAGTTCATTGGGAACGGTTGGGGTGACAGGAGAGGCATCCTTGATGGAGACCGTGGACTCTTCCATGGATGGAGTGATTGAGGGACCAGAGTTGCGGTGTCCTTTTCTCCTCTCTGGCCTCTTCAGATGGACATTCACATCGTAATTCGTCTCACAACCGAGATCCGGGACGCCAGTGTTGAGGAATGTGATGTATCCACAGGTGCTGGACAGATTGAGGTGATCAGACAACTTCTCCACCGCTCTATGCTTCGCCCACTTCTGGCGATTCATGTCACTCTGATGGAATGGAAAGGATTCATAGCGAATCTCTGCCGGCTGCATAATTCCGTAGCCCTGCACGAGGACACTGCCATTCTTCAGCTGATCATTGAGGGCCAGGAAGTTGTCCGTGTTCAGCACATATGAGTCCGTGTGGACAATCGTGATGAGGAGCTTTCCGTAGCCCAAGAAGATGCGCGGCAGGCTCTTAAGCACAGTTCCCCGCGTGAGCAAGAGACTCGGTGGACCGAAGCCGGATATGTGATAGTAGAACATCCGGAGCCACAGGTGGGAAGTGTCGCAGCTCTTGTAGAACTGCCCGAAGAAGGGAATGGACAGAAGATGCGTGAAGCTACTCGTGAGTGGAGCAGCAGAGCAGATGAACTTGTATTTCTTCTCCAGCAAGCGATCACGCGTCTTGTAATCCAGACTCTCCAGGCACTCAAGCCTCAGCAGATCCAATCCACAGGATAAATTGTTTCGCAGAGCAATTATGGTGGATCTGAGGATGACGGCGTGGGCAAAGTAGCGACCAACCTCACCCTCTCCTTCGGCATCCAGGAGGGAAACTTTCTCCAACTCCGCCAGGAATGTGTCCATGCTCTCGTCACAGAGTTTCCCCACTTCGAACATCGTCACGGCGTGATTCTTCAGCCCTGGCGAGAGATTTCCCATCATGAGGAATGCCGCGAGAGTGGAATCGAAGAGGAAGCCTATCCTCTTCCCGCCTTGGGCGTTGGGATCCAGAGGCTTGATGAGACTTCTGCTGTCCTGAGAATCTTCAACAGGTGGATTTTCCTTTAATTTCACTGGTTTCTTCTTCGTTGCTGGCGTTTTGCACTCAGTTGATGACGACGAGGAGTTGTTGATGATAGAGAAATCACTCGTGCCGTCTGATGAAGTGCACTCTGTGGCTGATAGATTGACAATCTCCTCCATATCCACCACTGGACTATCAGCTCCAGTCGCAGCCTTCCCCTTGGCATCCACCAGACCATCGTCCGTCTCGTTCATCAGCAGGGAGTGATAGTTCAGTGGAGTCACCTGTGGCCGATCATCTTCAATCCTCTCGACATTCTCCCAACTCAAATGCAGATTCGGCACCACAATTTCCGCCTTCTTCCTCGCGAAACCCAGACGACACAGCAGCGATACGGCATGCTTCACCGTGTCCAGGTTCACTTGCAGCATCTGGGCGAGCTCCGAGATGGTCATGTGCTCATCTGTACTCACGAAGACTTTGTACAGCAGATTCTCAAAGTAATCGCCGCACACGCGGTTCATCACAAAGTTTTTCAGCGGCGGAATGCAGATCTTATCCTCGCCACTTATTGGCACATCCAGATACACCAGCCCCTTCCTGTACAGACTGTGCACCACCATGAAGTCCACTTGGCCCACCGTGCGTGACCCGAAGTCAATCAAGTCGTCAATTATACTCCTCTCGGCATCATTGACAAACTGGGAATGGAAAGAATTGTCAGGAGGCGAAATATCATTGAGAACAGGAGGAAAATCTCACCCGAATGTCCGTCTCGAGCACATATCCGACCTCAATCTTCCACGCTGGCTCAATGTTGATGCGGATGGGGAACTTAGGAAGGAAATGCAGCGGATTTGGCTTCCGGAAGAGCTTCGATGAGTTGGTCTTCATCTCGCTGATTAGCGCTAAATACTCATTCCGGCCGATTCCCAGCACCCGGAGGCCTGCAAGATGATGACGAATCATTTGAATTGCTAATGGAAAAACGGTTGATGGGAAATCTCTCACAGTCGACGGCGGTGAAATTGGGCAGCGTGTCGTAACTCTTGTCGTTCCTCAGCAGGAAACTCAGCACGTCCAGGTAGTAGTTGAAGGGTGTCACCCTCAAGCCCTTGGTCACGATGTCGGCCAGATGGTAGGGAAAGAGGCAGAGATAGCTCACGCTCTTCTCCACCAGCAACTCATAGTATCGCTGCTCATTCCGGAACACCCGCCGCACCAGATTGCCTCTGTATCGCAACTGATTCTTCAGGCTGTAGTTGAACACGTAGCGATCATAGTCCTTTGGTGTGTTCCGCAGTATCTTGAAGAAGAGTCAAGAGAGAAATTGCTAATTAATGCAAATCAAAGAGAAACTCCAATTGGGGGAAATCCCCACGGCTGCATCGCAACCCTGCGCGATATTGCCACAAAAATGCCGTATTATCAGTTTGCCAGAACCCGTTCTTCGTATGTGTTATCACAACATATTTCCCTCCTTCACAATCTCAAGGTAAATAAGAAGAGAAGTCACGGATCGCGTAGGCAGAAAAACAAGAGTCGCGCGAGTGGAAAAAGTCACCTGTTTCAGATGAACGGGCAAATTAGCCCAGGAGATGTTGTTACGGACGCATTCCTCGATCTCAGCATTGATTTTTGCACTCATTTTCACCACTGATTTTGGGATGGAAATCACATTTTTCCACGACAAAAGTCACACTATAAAACCTCCGACGAGAGTTTCTCCATGACGTTCCGTGGCTATCTCTCGTTATGTTTCGCACATTTCATGTTTCACGCGGAAAGTTTCACTGGGTTTCAGTGGGATAAAGAGAGGGTAAAAATTACATAATCTTCAGTGAAAGTGGCTTATTTTCAAGATTCTAGCAGATTATGTGAGTGAGATGTATAGCTTTCAAAAGTATGAACAATATCAAGGGAATAAAGCCCACAAAATTCCTTTACATTCTCTTACATGGATTTATGTTTCGTGAAATATTCAATCATAATGCCTGATAGCAACGTCAACGGAACACATCAAGCTGTCCTGCTCTAAACTCGCATGGCAGTGACTGGAAAAGCTCTTCATCGCATCGCTCGTGGGAGGAAAAAAAGCTCAAGGCAAGAACGGCGGCAAGAGGAAAAGGCGCGAAAAGAGGAACACAAATCGCATGAATTGTCTTCATTCTTCAATAGAATATTTTTAATCTTAGTTTTTTATCATACATATTGATGTGTGAACTATACACAAAACATGTAACACTCAATTGAAATGCTAATTCAATAAAAGCTTATATAAAAAATGTTTGACTCAACAGATTTCTCTTTTTTCCTCCAATCTACATTAAATTACTCTGCTTCTAATGTAATCTTCTCTCTCTCTCAACACTGTTGTTCGCCACAGTGAGCGACATTGCTTTAGAGACCACATCAGAGTATTTAATTAGATCTTGTGAGATCATCTTCCATTCCATTAAGTGGTTGGAGTTAGAGCAATGTCGCTCACTGTAGAGCAAAATCTCTTCAATGTTTTCAGTGATTAAGTCCATGCAAGCCAATTTCGCGTGAGTGACTGCGAAGCACGATCAGGCCGAATGTGTGTTTGTGTGTGTTGGATGGTTTTTCTCAGAGAATGCGACACTTCCTCAGCATGGTCTTCTTGCGGGAAGGCTTTCGGCTGGGTCGCAGAATAATCGTACCGTTTGTCTTGGCGAATGTTGGTCCAAAGGCACCTAGACGACGGGCAGAGAGAAAGAAAAAGCCGAAGAGCGACAATGAGAGCGCGTTCAGGAAGAGTGAACACAATGGAATAATTACTGATTGTCGGCTGTCCAACTGTGGTCACACTGCTGTACTGTTGCTTCATCAATTGATGGCATTTCGTGGCTAAATATCTAAAAACTGATCCTACATTCACGTCCTCCTTCACCGATGTCCTGATGAGGCGACATCCCAGGTGCCTGGCCAGCATTTCCGCCTCCTCCGGATGCACCACCGCCTGATCCATCAGATCCACTTTGTTCTGCACTATCACGGTCGGAATCTCACCGCACTCATTCTCCACCTTTTCGTTGGTTTTGCCAAAAAAAAAAGAACACACCAAGAAGAAAGACAACATGAGTTTATAGAAAAAAAGTGAATCGCGTTGCGCATGACGCTCAATTAATGGAGATTAATTTACTTTCATCTTCCAGTCTTTAATTGCCTCGAAAGACAAACGATCTGTGGTGCTGAATGTCAGAACGCACGCCTGAGCTCCTCGGTAGTACGCTTTGGTAATTCTGCAAGAGAAAACACACCAAATTCAGTGGAATTGCTGGGGATTTGCATAGAATTAGCACACGATATTCCATTCTGTGCTTTTCTTCTTCTTCTCTATGTCAACAAAAGAGCGAAGCAGTGTGTTAATTTGGGCCTCTTGAGGCATTTAATACTCACGCGTCGAACTCTTCCTGACCAGCTGTGTCCCACAGCATTATCCTCACGTCCTCGCCATCGATTCTGCAAGTGAAATACTCAATATCAAATTGAACATTTAAATGGCTTTTGGATGAATATTCAATTCAATGCGTTGGTCGAAATGATTCCCGTTGAATTGTGATACAAATAGGAGAATTGCCAAGTAATTTCTCGGGTAGTTCAAGCGTCTGAGTTTATCACTCTCTCCACATCATGGGGAGGATGTCACAGAGTTTATTGTTTAAAGAGGAATACAGCATGCCCAAAGGGGGGCTTTCAAGCTATTGATCTGCCAGGCCTTAAGTCTGCAGATCAGTTCCATGAAAGTCGACAGTACAAACGAGCTTTTCTGAGGCACATCTTCGAGAATCTATGAAGAGCTCAATTGTAAATATGCGAGCTGAACAGAAGGCTGATCTACAATTGAACTCAAACTTGCTTTATCATTGGGCGCACTATGAACTCATTCCAATGGTGAGCAAAGGGGTTTTCAGGTGGGGCTCAATCTCTTGACTGCACAATATTTAGTGCGCAAATATTGTGGAGATCCTGAAAATATGCGAGTTCAATTGTGGATTCCAGTAATAGAACTAAACCCCATAGATTTAAGTTGGTGTTTTTATACTTTCATATCCGATTTGGATTACCCTTACCATGGTATATGAATGGGCGACAACTGTACTTCACCACAGTAGGAGATTCTCAGGGAATTCCCCAGGGAATTGACTACGCTTCAACATCCAGGTTTCCTATGATGTGCATCATGTGAACACATGAGCCAGTGTTTTCGCACACATACGAATCCGTGAAGTGTCGCCAACCTACCCTGGACATGCACAAAGACTAGACAATGTCCAATCTCGCTGGATCCGTGACGAATTACTTAGAGTTTGACTACCTTTTTGCCGAAAATTTCTAGCAGAAAAACATTAAAATCTTACTCAATCTGTCGCTCCAGGAAGTCCACGCCGATGGTCTTCTTGTAGTCCTTCGTGTAGATCCCTTTGCAGTAGCGCTGAATCATTGAACTCTTGCCAACACCGCCATTGCCCACGATCACGACTTTGATCGCGATCTCCAGTTCCTCCTCCCTCATGGTGATGAAGCGACACTCAATGGCATTCATTTACATGCGCTCCCCATCTCTATGCGGGCATCTCACCAGCTTCCTGGCCTTCGGTGGCTGCAAAGAGAAGAACGCACACGTGATCATCTGCTCTGAAGATTTCATCGCGCGACACAAGGATTGGAGAGCGTCTCTTATTGCGTGACGCTGAGCGATTAACACAGGGAATTTTCTCAAGTCATGTCAAGTGGAGTGATAAGACTACAATCTTCGAGAAGCTCCTCTAACCGCGCCATGCACGCCAAAAGCAACTATCAATTAGCACATCTAACATGTGTTAATAAGGCTGATGCAGATTTGGGATTCTGCGAGTCTGTGGAATCCCAATGGATTGGTGGGAAAGACTTCCTCATTGTCTGCCAGCAACATTCAGCACTGCGATAAATCACTCATAAATTTAATGCTTCTGCACAGTGTGAACATTTTCTCAAATCACAGGCAATCTCGCCAAATGATTCGACAAGTGATTTGCGCCAGCAAGAAGCTCTTTGCCGCGGGCAATCGAGTGGAATTACCATGTGGAGAAAGTCTAAGTACAAATCCTAATGAATTGAGCCTCAAACTTCAGAATTTGATGATATTGAATTGATCATAAAACGAATATCTTCAATATCTTACCGAGTAATTTAACACCGTCATTGTCATAGAAATCTCAGGTTGCACTTCAGCTAAGAAAAAGTTCAAGTGCTTTCTCCGTGTTTCTCCCCAATTATAATTCCCAGTTCAATGATTTATTATTATCATTATTATTATTATTATGTAAAGCAAAAAATCACATGAGAGACACTCGACGAGTTCCCTTTCATTTTTGCCTCAATTTGGCGCCACAGAGATGCGATTGTCTCGAGCAATGAGGAAGTTTTCTGTGGCGGAAAATCACACAATAGTTGGACGTGATCTGTTTTTTTGTTTTTTTGGAGGGCGGCGAGGAAAAGCATCAGAGAAAAATTTCTTCACCGCCAATTTGTAATTATCGTGTTTGAGAGGATGATTTGTAAGTAAAAGCTCTAATGACTTCTGTTTTCGTATTTCTTTTGATGCTCAATAATATTTATAGTTCTCACCTCTTCTTTGGGCATTCGCACCTCCAACACTCTTGTGGTCATTGACATAAAAGACGCCCAGGAGAGGAGAAGCAATCGAGCGTCAAAGTGAAGAGATAAAAATTTAATTTCATTGTAATGCCGGCTGAAGTTCAATACATAAAGAGATGAGAGAGTGAGAGAAAATGATGGAGAACGAAAAGGTAATGAAGTCACAGTGGGGAGATTTCTGTGAAATATTCCATCGTTGGGCTTTGGCAAAAAAGAGACGCCTTGCAACAGTGCATTGGGAGTAGCTAATTTAATTAATGAATCTCTCTCTCGACTCTGCAAGAGGAAGAAGCCTCAATAGAATTCCCATCGAGTCTCTTGCGAAGAATTCCAGCATGATTTTGCGCCGCGGTTTTGACCTCAAATTGAGTCAGTTTACGGATAAATTCTTCCTACATTATTTTAATACCATTTCAACTTGCAATTTCTCATGGTTTATTCTTGGAAATTGTGAAATTATTATTGCTATTCTCAAGTCATATTATTAACAAATTCCAAAAAAAATTATCTTGCAATACTTTCACCCTGATCGATAATCTCACGGAAATATTATGCTAAAATCACTGAAATACTTTAATTAAGTTTTACCGTAGATGGAGTTATCGTAATGCGCCTTTTAAGGCGAATCAACCCAGAATAAATAAGCGTGGCAGTTTGCAGTGAAAGAAGCTCTGAAAACACAAAACTCGAATGCAAGACTGACGTCAGAATGAGCATGTTAAGTCACATTAGACGACTGTGAGATAACAGATCGAGTTTCTGGTTTTTGTGCAAAACATCTCCTCAATCTCTTCCCTCCAATTCACCGTGGAGAAGAATTTCCGTGGTTTTTCTCACACTCTGGCGAAGACGTCGCGCAGCGCGAAAACAACTCCAACATATATAAGATTAGATGATTAATTGTCTCTGAGACACACCCTGAAAGTACACTGAATGATCAGAAATGGGTTCAGTCGCGTATTTCACTCTGGTTGAATCGTTTTGCGGTAAATTCTGGGCAAAATTGCCAGTCCGGCAGCAAAATTTACGATTGACACACTTTCCGGAGTCTCGGCATGGAAATGTGTCGATCTCGAGAGTCACCCGTGGTGTCTTTCATTCTATCATGTACCGTTTGGAGGCCACTTGGGATTCTGTGACGCAAAGATCTCCGGAGATTCTCCTGCACAAGCGATTGAGACAAGTGAAAGAAATTCGCGGCGATCCGAATTCGTCAACTTTGGCACGTGTGTGACTTCTTGGGATCAACACACCAGAGATGCAGATAAATGTTCAATCTTTGGTGTTCAGATGGAGTCTTTCGTGTGGTGCAGAATTAATTCACAGTACTGTTAGGCGCCGCGAGGAAATTGGAATAAATATGGCATAATAGCATTCATATTACTGCAGATTATTATCCACAAAGTGAGAAGGCACTTCAGCATTTGCAAGCGAACTTTGCCTTTTTTGCCCATCACTCTTCGACACCAAAAGTATATTTAAAGATAAATATTTGTGCAATAGAGAAAAGCCTCAGCTTATATTGTTCACGATGAAAGTAAATATAAATATACTCGATATGAATAATAAATCAGTCAAACACTGATTTATATTGGTTACAGTTTAGTTAGGGTGAGAGATATGGATAAAAAGCGTGTTAAACTGTTTGTAACACCTCGTATATTCAATGATTTGCATATTATTTGCCATGCTTTTTTTTTACTTTCATTGAAAGTCAAGAGAATTTCTCTGCGCCAACGTGGTAAACTAATATTTATCTACAATAAAGTGTAGCACAATAGATTTATCTGTCTATTTCACTGGAATGCTACAGATATAATTTAAATAGTGTGATGAGAATTTGCATTTTAGATTTGCATCTTCAGTGCAAAATCACTTGGCTTCAGAGAAATTCCTCTCAAAGAATTCTATAACTTCTCCGGGCCATAATTTAGTGTGAGGTTGATTCTAGAAAACCAGAAATAGTAGTTTTCTTCAATCTAAATCGCCTAATAACTCCTGCCCGAGAACCGTTTAGAGAGAGAGATCGGCAAATGTGCGGGTAAAGAGAAATCTGTTGAGGTCATTTTCTTACAACTTCGGCAGCATAACGTGCTAAAATTTTTCATGATCGATTGGCGAGAGGTAGTAAAATTTTTATGTTTCATCTCTAATTTCTGCTCGAGAGAAAGAGAAGCTCATAAATCACCGGTGGAAAAGACTTTCTTTCGATAGTGCACAAATCTTTGTGTGTGGGATTGAAATCAAATATTCGTCTCGTGTGCGACATTGACCAAAAAGGCATCGCGAAGAAGTCAAAACATTGGTGGCAGTGTGACAGGGCGTGTGCGCAAAAAATGCGCCGAAATCAAGGTGTTTGATTATCAATTGTGGAAAGATTCAATCTGACCAAGAGGCGAACCTGATTTAATCTGCACCACAATTCGATTCATAATTAAAATTCCCCTTCACGAGAGCTCTTCGATATATTTATTTTCATTTTACGGTCGTTTAAATATGAGTAAACATCGGAGCACAGATGAACTTTCTCGCTGCCTCTGCTGATCTTCGAGGCACGTGTAAACATCTCTTTGGCTCCATTCTTCTCAATCGAACTCTACGTTCTCATGATTCCCTTTCCAATTTATTATATATTACTCTTTATCTCTCTGCCACCAACCAGCGTATAAAATCCACACATGAGAGCTTCTCTCGCTTCCCGTGACTCTTCAAGAAAAAAGATCACAAGACCGTCAATTTGGGTTCAATTCACTCTGTCCGATCCTCGCGAAATAAATTTGCCGAGTGTGTGGAATATTTGCCAAAAAGAGCAACAATTTTAGTGCCTCTTATTTACACTTTATATGGAATGCTCTCGGGAATGCTCTTAATGGAATTTTACGGTGCTGATGTGGACCAGGAAGGCATTTCCGAGCTCAATCAACAGTTCTCTGATGTGGAAGTCAATAAAAACGCCTCTGGTTTGTGGTTTCTTCTCTCAATTTCCACGCGACCGATATGCAAATTGAGGCAGAAGAAGAAGGGCATCAAATTTGTCGATAGAATTATTAAAGAATTCTTGCTACCATGCATCTTTCCAACTGTCCCACTTTGCACTAAGCGAGAAAAGAAGATAATACAAACAGAAAGTATTACTTTACAATAAATTATTCATTCAGCAAATCAAGCAAGAGAGATTTTCTCTCTAAAAGAACATGAATTTTTATCTGGAGATTCATCTATGGAAAACATGCTTTTAGCCTGAGTTAAGCATTTTTCTCGGGTTCGAGGGGTAAAAACGACTCAATTAATTGTAGACTTAATCCATGGTGAGTGACTCAATAACTCAGAAGTCTCTCTCTCACTCAACTTTGCCACCAAGAGTGCGCGCGAGTTGAGCAAAAAAGGCGCATATTCAACTCAAACTCAAACCAATCATTTTTGCGTATTATTCACTATCATCTCAATAAATTGCACTGACACTGATTTGAGTGTGTCTCTCATTAGAGAATTGACGGGAGTTGTAATTATTTGAAAAATTCCCCGAAGCAATTCTTGGCGCGATAATCATTTGCGTCCGCTGAGACAGTTCGTCGGTCTCACCATAAAAATTACATAAAAATTTTTAAACCAACTTCATCAGCAACCCGAGAAGAGCGAATAATTGCCCGAGGAGTTTCATTGACCTCGCGACCGGGCGAGTTTCGTTCTTTTCTTATTTTTTGGGGGGAAAGCGCTGAGGGTCTTTTTGCAGCCCGAGTGAAGAAATTAGACTTGAATTTTTACCCCGAAAACACCTGTTTGTTCATACACAGCCTAAGAAAACCGGTCTTCGCGGGCTGCTCGCTTCCTCCACTTCCCTTTATTCTCAGCACCATCAGCAGGTCACCATGCCATGGAGTGTCTCTTCTTCTTGTTCCTCTCCCCACGCCAGCTCGGCCAGCAGTCACATCATCACAACGTCCAAATGGAACTGTCGTCAGAGCGCAGAACGTAAATAAATAACATAATCATTTTGCCATTTTGCAAGAGGCACGATTAACAAATCATGTCGCACTTCTCACACTTTTAATCCCATTTTTCCCCGGGAAATTCCTGCTGGCAGACAAATCGAAGGCCTCCCAACGGTTCCTCGCTTTTCCCATCGTTCAATAACTCAATCGAACCGCTCGTATCGCCTGTGCATGCATATTAATGGCGTTATTATGATGATTTCCGGCTACTCTCCAGCTATTTGTTACAATTTCTCACATGCAGCCGCATTCGGACGCCGAGGTCCATTTAATGTCGCCCTCCAGATGTGCCCTATTACATTTATTGGCCATCCCAACAAATAGTAAGTCACGAAGAATGGGAAATTTATGGATGAGCGCAACCAACAACCTGACTCGTTCTCAAAACCATTTGTCCGCCACATAAATTCCATTAATTAGTCAAAAGTAATTTGGAATTCCAACCAATGGAAACAGAATTAAATTGCCCGAAGATCAGTAAATAGAATCTCGGGTGATTCCGAAAAAAAATTTATAGCGATAATTAGGAATTTTGTGGCGCAATTTGCCAAAAAACAAAGGAAAACTCTTCTTGTGAGTAACTTTCAAGATTAATTTTCCAATTAGTTGATTTTATGCGTTAAGAACGAATTGAATGAGAAATAGCGACACAGTCCATTGGATTTCCTCTGCAAGTTGCATGAAAAGCGAAACACTTCATTAGCAAACAAACCCAGAGGTGTTTCCCAAAAATGACTCCTCTTGCCCAACAGTGTCGTTTTCATCAAACAAATATGCATTTTTCATGAACCACCAGTGGCTGTAATTGTGAGAAATTCACTTCTGCCTTTTTGGCCAACAACATTGAAAGTCTTTCAACACTGCGCGCTTCCTCATAAATTGTCTGGGCTGGAATTTGCTCTGATTGGCATTCCATGGAAGAAGCTAAAGGCGAGCGCGCAACTATGAAAATCATCTCCTTTATAGGCGAAAGACTGTCCGTATGTGAAAAATTTCCTCACTGCAGCTTTCCGCATTCATTTTTCATCTCTCAACCTGCACAGATGATCGAAAAGAAAAAAAACCGAGTTGGAGAGAAAAGAAAAAGATTGGAAGCAATCGGAATAGGTTCAGTTCAACAACTGTTTAGCCGTTGTCTCGACGATAAGATGGAGCTCGATTGGCAAAGTCATGGGCTGGAAAAAGACGTGAGATTCCGGAGGAGAGGAAAATTTATAACCGTACCACAAAGTGAATAGCTGTTTACCCACCAAGAATGGTCTTATTCTCCAGTGCTGGAAAATCACTGTGTGAGTGGAATTTCTCGCAAGTACGGAGAAGCCTGGGTGTTGCTACCATTTTTTTCCTTCTCTTCTCTTCTTTTTCACCATCGAGCAAATGATTTAAGATCGTTCTCAGATGGTGTGGAGGGAATATTGTGTAAGACAAGAAAGCCACAGTCACATTATCTTCACATTAATGACTCCATTCCAATATCGCGCCAGCATTTCTCTCCCAACACAATCTTGGCGTTTTCAGCAACTTGGATAAAAGCGCATCACCTCGAATTAATTACCTTTCTTGCACGCAGTTTCTGAGGTCGATTTTATCTCACCAGATATTTTAAATATCTCTTTGCCAAATGGCTCAACCACTGCACACACTCAACATTTAACAACTCTGACACTGAAAACAGTGACGCGCTTCTTTGCTTCAAATCCTCAACTTTTCCACTGGAATTGATCTTCAGGTCACGAACAAAGTCTCTATGATTGCAACTCTTTTTTTGATTTCCTCCGCCAATTCTTCGCACGCAATTCCACGTGATGCACTGCACAGGCTCACCTAAGAGTCCTGCGGATCCTCAGTGGCATCCTCTGTGCACAAAAAGGGGGCTGAAGAGCAGCCGATTTAATTACCGCACCAGGTGAGATGCTTCGCGATCGAGTGCCTCTTTTGTACTGACTCTGCGGCGGTTTCGGCTTCGCTACAATGGCTGAAGAACTGAATAAAGTTCCCTCGCATGCCCGATAGTGGTTTCCAGCAGAGACCGCAGCGGATCTCTTGCTGGCCACCCTGTGTCGCCTCTCGGCGAGCGAAGAGTGGCGGAAGAGGTCAAGAGAGGCAGACAAGGTGAAGACGCCAAGATCGCTCTTCATTCACGAATTCTGGGAAAAAGTAAACCTGGCAAAACTCCGGCAAAAGGGCATCTTCCCAACTGCAGCATCACGCCTACGGTGAAATCGTGATCACATCCACTAAAATGTAACGCAATTCGATGTCGAAGCCCCGTAATTACAATGAATACGAATATGTTTGCTCGTTCCGCTCTTGCGATCCTCAAGCCTCGCGGCCACGACGCGGCTTCTGGAATTTGTCCCGCACAAACACACACAGGAAGCGCGCCCTGCCCTGCGCCCAATTGTGTGATCTCTGACACTCATTTGTCCATTGTCTGGATCTTCCCGATCGCGAGAATTATGACGTACAGTGTCGATGTCAGCGCCAATGATAAATTCTCCCACTTTTATCATTCTCCAGCGCGCGCTGCTCAAGAATGGATGCACAAAAGGTGTAGAGAGATGCTCAGATGCGAGTGGCTCTCTTGGGAGCACTTCTGCGCGCTCTTCACAATGCCTCCCTCGGACACTAATCAATTTTATGTGAGTTTGAGCATCTTTATTCCACACAGTGAGTCGATCGAGGTGTTTTTTCGCTCTGTGTTCCGATTGAAACGTACCAGAAATGAATGTTAGATGAATGTCCAAAATCCTGACTGTATCCTTGTTGATTAATTAGGATAAATAAGAGAAAAATCCAATAATTCAATCTCCATGATCCACATTGAGAGAAAATTACTCTTCGCCTTGGAATACCAGGAATGTCTAGCTGACGAATATGAGAGATAACTTTTCTCCAAGAAATTGGCTCTCTTGATGCCAATTGAGAGCCTTTTCACTCTGAGAATGTCTCGAATTTCACCAGCTTACGCTGCAATTTGTCTCAAGAGGAAGCAATTGAAGGAGAACGCATGGGAAATGTTAAACTTCCATCTGATAGTCGCCCGAGATGTCCTACAAACGCCACCTTTTCACTCTCAGCCGAACAGGAAGAAGCCGAAGGCAGACTGTGAATGAAGATCTGATCGCATTGTTGACTTAAAACAAGGGGGATTTATGGGAGCATCATCCTCCGTCCGTGACGACCTTCGATGAATTACATAATTGCCGCATCTATCATCGCAAGTAAATCGCTCATTTAGCGCGACAAGCAACAAGAGCTCATTCTCCTCTTCTCTCAATTCATCTTTTATTCGGTATTTCATTTGTGTTTCTCTCTTTCTTTCCTTGTAAATTACGCATTTTTCTACAATGCTTAAATATTCATATTTTTCTCTATTTCAGTTTTAATCACATTTTCTCTCATTCGCACCTCAAAAAGCATGTCTTCTTGTCTCGTGAGAATATCAAAGAACGTCTTGTCCGACCGTGCTTTCTAATTATTTTTTTTTCTTTTTTTGCGGAAGAAAGATTAAACAAATATTATTGAGCATATAAAGATTTGCCAACTTCACATAAAGCGTCACAAAATTTCCAATATTAGTCACTTCTCTCTCTCTCTTATGGCTTTATCTCGAAGCTCGAATTTTTTTTTGCTCGCAAATTACTTATCAAAAAGAGAGTAATAATGTTTGGAGCACTGCTTGGCTCTCCTTGACAATTTTTTAATAATAGAATATAATGCAATTTTCGCTAGCGCATCTCAGTCTCACTCATGTGATTTGTAGTTAATTGTTTTTATCATACTAAAAAAAAAATGTGTTTCTCTGTGATTCCGCCGAAAAGGGTCTTATCATTGTTCTCTAAATTGATTTAATTGTCCGCTTTGTACATAAAAAATCACAGCTCTTGACATGGAAGAATCGCACAAAATTCCACGCCAATTCATTTAAACTCGCCTCAGCAATTGAGATCAATACTTTGTGTCTTTCTCATTGTTTTACTTAATCCTAAAGTTACGCGACAATTCCTAACATCTAAACCTTATGAGCTCATACACTTAAATTGGTCTACAAGAACTTTGATACGTTGTTTGTTTGTTTGTTTGTTTTTTGGTCAATTGATCATCGATGAAAGCACATTGATTAAGCAACGATTCATTCGCTCTTTATAGGCTATAATGCTTTAAAAGGCAGAGAGTTTCCAAGAATACTTCAACAAAGAGAAAAATAATAAAACAATACCTCTTTTTTAGCATAAAAAAAGCACCAGAAAGCAGCAGCGACGCAGGATTCGAGCGGATCCTCAGGTCTGTCGCTGCAGCGCATTCGTGATTTTGGCCTTTAGTGGTGCCAAATCAAGCTTCCGGAAGCGTGGCAGGGACGCAAATCGACGGAATCCCGACGACAAGTCAGCACGCAGAGAGCATCTGTTGATTCGTGACAATGTGGCGCACTTCCCGCCAATGGACTGAACTTCCAGGCGATTCTCAACGCTCGGCGGCGGCGGCGGACTGTCGCTGATGGGCGGCTTTTCGGGCTGACTTCGTGGCTTTGGCTTCCTCTTGGCCAGATGAGCCTCCCCATTGGCATACATGGTCTGTCGCGTGACCTCCGGACTCTTCTGGTAGCGTCTCTTACCCTCGCGCACAATCTCATTGGGATAGTAGGACGGAATCTTCTCATCGAACGTGTTCACGCGCCGCCGCACCTGCTGCTGCAGATCATTCCTCTCCTCCGGCGACATGGAGATGCTGGGATCCACTGGCCGATCGGTGCCACGCAAGAATGTCACATTGGACACATAATCAACACTGGCAGCGGCCTCCAGGCGATCGAGCTCCTGCACAGCCTCCGGACTGAAGCCACTGCCATTCATCTCCACATAGCCCGAGGCGACTTTCTGCTGCGACTCCAGCCTGTCCAGCTCCTTCACCTTCTCGCGATCGAAACCAGCCGGGCCCATCTCGAGGTATCCATCAGGAGTGCCTCTCTCGTCCTGGAACTTGAAGTAGATGCTGTTGAACGCGCCACTCACTGACTGGTCAGCATTCTCAGTCTCTGGCAGTGTTTCCTGCGAACTCACAGGCGTCTCCACGTGCAGCAGATCGGCCACTGACGACTTGACCGATCGCCTGTCGTCCATGACATCCTCAAAGGGTGTCTTTGTCTCCGGCTGCGACGACACTGTGTTGAGATAGGACTCGTGGCAGAAGAAGTCATCAGAAACACTCGTGCCGCACTGATATTGCGTCATGGCATCGGATTCTGACACACTCCTGGTCATCTTGGTGAGATTGGGACTGGAAAAGCTGTTCCTCTTGCCTTGCGTGATGTCCAAACTCAGGAATTTCGTACTGAGACTTTCGCTCTTCTTTCCCTTCTTGTCCTTCGACGTCCTCCTGCCCAGTCCTAGCACATTGTCCAGCATCGTCCTGTAGCGCCTCTTCTTCAGCACCTCAGACTCTGGATTCGTGAAGGAGCGCGGAATTCCACTCTCGAAAGTGTTCATTCGCGTGCGCGGAGGCAATGGCGGTGGCATTTCATTTGCCACCTTCTGCGCGTCCGTCTCCACGGGCAGCATCTCCTCGTAGATCCCTGACACAATGGAAGCTCGCGGTGCCTTGGCATCGGGAATCTCCTCGTAGATGCCAGAAGTTCGTTGTGTATCTCCGTACGAGCGCATGCCTCTCGTCTCCCAGATATTCTCGTACAACTGGGAGGGCTTCTCGCTCTCGTCCACTGTGGACGCTCTACTGTGTCGCTTGGAGGCGATCAACTGCTGACTGTACAGCTCCAGGTCCTGGATGGCCATCTGCAGCCACTTCACGTGCTTCTCGCAGCTCACTTTAGAGTCGAAACTCAGGAAAATCGTGCAGCGCTGATTGTAGGTCCACGAGAGACTGCAGATGTGTTGCTTCTTGCGCGATGTCGCCTGAATCACACACAGAGAAATATTTGTTATTGGCACTATTTTTGGAAAAACCGCAAGTGATAAAAATTCTGGGAAAAACCCACCATTTGTACATTGATTCCGGGAACATTGATTCTTATGGTTAAATTTGAGCTGATTTCTGCATTGTGATGCATCATGGAAATTCGCAGGTGGCAGGGAAAACATCTGATGGGTTCCACTTTCAGGAAGAACTTTGTCCACGTGCGCAGATTCAGGTAGTCGATGAGCTTCTCCCGCGTATCCATTTTCACGTCCACACACATCAGCAACTCATTGGCTTCCATGCCTGCGGCGCTTCCGGTGGGACTTCTCTTGCTGATCTGCGAGTGGGAGAGAAACAAAGCCACAGTTCACTCGCTGACCTCTCCAGCAAAACTGCGCGCGCGCTGGCATGCCTCAAGGGTTTTTCCCTTATCAGGGCCGCAGTGAATTGCCCAGAGAATGACGCCAATCTCAAAACAATCAGACATTGAGGTTATGTGTGAGTGTTGGAGTTTTTGCGTGATTCAGTGTTTACATTTTACGCCAATTCTATAAATAAACCCACATTCCGCACTCATGTTGGTCATTCACGTGACGCGAACTGGGGCGGTGAAGCTGCAGAAAAGGCGCAGAGAAGCGACTTCTTGGCATCGCGCAAACAAGGAGGGCGCCATACTTCAGGGCTCCGTCGCTATCAATTCTGGGAATTGTCGCAACCTGAGATGCCAATCAGTCGCGATACTTACATGTATGTGTTGGGCAGTGTACGAATCAGTCTTTGGCGGTTGATAAATTACATTTTTTCTGCAGGGAGAACTGATAAAGAACAGAAAAACCGCGCCCACTGAGAAATAGATATGAGAGCGTGTGGAAAAAACACACGCATGCGCTCTGCTGAGCAAAATCAGCAACATATGGAGGGGAGGAGTGTCATCCTCTCATTTCCCCTACATTTTCCCCCTAACAAATGTATTTATTGAAATTCGCAGGAAATCTTGTTTGTGATGGCAGAATGATTTTCTTAATATCCTGTGGTTCATCTGGCATTGTTTAACACCTAAATTACATTTGAATTTTGTTAAAAATTGCGAAAAATCCGGGGATTACCGATATATCGAGCAACTTCTCCTCTGAGCTCAAAAAATCGGTGGGATGAGCGTGATCTGTCACTTGTTGTCGAGTTTCTGCGAACGTCGCAAGAAAGGACTCTGAGATTGTGTTTTTCTGCGTCTTATCACGGATTTCACGGGCAATTTATGCTGTTCCAATGGATGTGGTAAGTCAGAGATGTCTGGAAATCGCTGTAGTGACTTTTGACCTTATGTCTTTCCCGCGCAAAGGTGTACTTGCCGCATCTTCTGGTGGGAGGAAAGATCATCAAACTGGTGCCGGACTTCAATCAAGTGGGATCAAGGAAAGCGGATCTTTTGCACAATCCCATCGTCCTGGAGAGCGATGCTGTGGACGGAAAGCATGCAATCTTATCTTTCGACATCCTAAAAGGAACAACACAGATACTCGATCTCGTGAGCAAGGCTGGAACGTTCGTGGATGGAGAGAAGATCGCGCCGATCGAGTGGAAGCTTCTGAAGCACGGAGAAAAGGTGGTCTTTGGCGATGTCGAGACGACATTTTGCACAAAAGACACGCAGAGTGAGCGGCAGATCATGGACAACACTCCGTCGAATAGCAATGACTCCGCTGAGAACTTCAAAGTGATCCCAGTCAGTCTTCCAGTGAAGACTGAGAGAATCTTGGTTCCGGACACGCAGCACGAGAGCCAGTGTGATGAATCTTTCGAGCACGTCGAACTGCCGGAGACACAAATGCCAGAACTGTACAAATCCAAGGAGGAGTTTGATGGCATTTTCGTGCCAGAAACTCAACCGGCAGCGGAAAATGAAGAGAGTTTGTTGGACATTTCACTGCCCGAAACTGAAATATCCACACCCGTTTCTCGGATGTCTTTTGAGGACAGTTCAAAAATGGATGATACTTGTGTTGACGTCTGGAACGTAGCGACGCAGATCCTTGACCGACAGATGGAGAAGGACTCGATTTTGTCAGACAATTTGCTAGAGAATTGCGTCAAAAGCGACTTCTGCGAATTGTCGACGCAAGTTTTTGATCGCAGCAAGCTCGCGCCTGCTAATTTGACTAAAGACAGTGGGCTGAACTCTCCTGCCAGTTCATCACTGAACGGTGTTAAGGATGAGTCTTCCGACATACTCACACAGACCTGCAATACCACTAAAAATGCTGAGGAACGGACGGTTTTGAAGGCCGGCGACAAAAGACCACATTCTGCTGTGACTGAAATTAAGGATGAGGATGAAACGGATTGCGAGGACGAACTGGCTGGTTTTACAAGTCCAGAGAATCCTCAAATGCAGCCTCAAGTGAAGTTGATTCGATTGGCGCATGAAAATGTCTGCGAAGCAGCAACGCAGAAATTTCAGCTGAACTCAATCCGATCAAATATCTCACAGACTTCCAGGACGATCTCAAAAGAGCCTTTGGAGGCGGCGCAATCGTTCGGGAGTCAGGAGGGGAACAACAGTGTTCTCGCACAGTTCAGATTCACCAACGACTTGTCCAGCACTTTCTCTGATGATCTCTTAACGCCGCCGTGTCTCATTGCACTGCCCACGCGACAGGGAAAGAACAGACCGGAAACCAAGGATTCCGGCAAGAGAACTTCCAAGAAATGGATCTTTCCTGAGAGTTCTGACGATGAAGACGATTACACGGCGTTTAGTCCCACGCAAGGCATGAAAACGCCAGAGAAGCCACGCGAACTCTCAACCAAAGCGAAGCTGAGGTTGAAGGCTATCGCTATCTTAGATTCTCCCAACACTGCTATGGATTCTGAAGCTGCCACAGATGGCGAACCGGAGAAGCCCATCAGGAAGCATAATTCGAAGAAGAATGTGAGTTTTTTCTTGACTTTTTTTCCTTAACATCTCAACAGTTCCTTATGTTCTTGATCATCCTAAGTCATTCCTGGGCAGCCAAATGCTCTATCGGGACCAGCTGCCGGCAATTGAGAATATTAGTGAGTTGATTACCCTGCCGGAGACGTTTTCCTACCCTCAGCCACGTGATGACGATGCTATTTTCCTCAGAGAACTCGCTGAGAGTGCTTGGGACAGGTTTTCTTGTAACTATTCTTCGCTTTTCTGTCTCTTGCTGAATCCATTAACCCGATCCGGACAATGCAGATACAAAATTTGTTCATCTTCTCGTTTTTCTGTTGCCAATTATGCTGGGATTGTGACTAAAATTACACATTATCACGCATATAATCGTCTTACATGTTCTCATAATCTCTAATCAGTGCCGCTTTTGACCTTTCTTTTACTTTTTCAGGACTCAAAGCTGCCCAAAACATCTCACATGTCTCCTGTTCAGCTTCGACGTTCCAGGCGGGCAGTGAAGAGAATGCAATATCAGGATTTCGAGACATAAGACAGGCAAAAAACTTGCCGAAGACATTGAATTTCAGCAGCGAAAGCGCAGTACAAAATGTCCTTACTCTAAGTGTTTAAATTAAGGCGTTGAATTTTTTGTGGAAATAAAAACCAATTTTGAATTTCTCTAAATGCTAATCCTTTCTTGTAATTTAGACAATCCTCCAGCATCAGGTCGACTATAAATTTCCAGAGAACAGAGGAGTGTTGATAGCATGTCCGGACGTGTTCCGGATTATCGAGCCATTGGTGGCAAGGCAGGCATTCCTCCTGGTGAGGCGGCCAGAGCGGAACTGGGTCCGAGTAGGGCCCGCTTCTGCTGGTTGCGCTGCTCCTCCTGCAGCTGGGCACGCTCTACTTCGATGAACACTGGCACGAACAGGAGGATGGAGCTGGTGAAGAAGATCCACGACGCGTTGCAGGTCAACTTGAAGATGGACTTGACACTCCGCGTGGATAAATCCGTCACGGTGGAGCAGACATTGCGCACAGGCTCCGGGAACATCTCCGTGAGGCCCCACAGACGCTCCCCGAAGGACTCATCTGGCTCCTGGAAAGGCAAAGAATCACCTTCAGCACTTCTTGGTCTGAGCAATGTGAGGTTAATGCGCCTTACATCCTCGTAATTCTCCGCAGATGTGTCCCCATCGGTATTTGTTATAGCATTCGAGGGTTCCTGGAAGACAGACGAGGGAGAATCATGAGATTAGCTGGCCGGGATGTCACGGAAATGCAAGAAAATGGTCGAGAGGATATCGATTGTCACACGCACTGTCGAGCGACGTTCCGGTGTCTCATCTTTGCTGCCGCTCATTGATACGATTCCGCTGTCTTTGTCCACAAAGCCAATGTCCGAGTCTGAATCCATCAAACAAACAATCGGGAGAAGGTGTTTTCACTGCGCTTTTCACGGTTTTTCACACATTTAAGTCCCGTTTTCCTTGTTTTCTCGCATGCGCCCACTTCTTCTTCTTCCCAATCTCACTGCCAGAGATTCCTCCGACGCCAGCGCCGCGCGCGAGCTGCGCTAGAATCACTCCTTCGTTGATTTTGCTCAAAATTGAGCAACAGCATTACGGAAAACAAAAGTGGCCAATCATCACCGCTCTCTGTGTGTTTTTCTTGAATAATTCTGGTGAAAAATGGCCCTCGCCGACGTGTGTGGTCTCAAGTTGACCTCCTTCGACTCCCCGTCCGTCCTAAAGTTCAGTGGCACTGAGAAATTGTGCGAAAATTGGGAAAATCCACTGCAACTTGCAGTGCCTCCGTATGAGAATGTAAGTGTGGTTATGGTTTCTTCATGATTTCGCATTTTTTACAATTTTCACCTTTTTTGCAGCCCGCGGAGAATCTAGCCAAACTCCAAGACTACGGAGCATCCACGGGCATTAAGATTGACTTTGACCATGGCACAACGACACTGGGATTCCGCTTTGAGAAAGGTGTCATCCTGGCTGTGGATTCCCGTGCCACCGGCGGCCAGTTTATCGGCTCGCAGAACATGAAGAAGATCGTGGAAATCAATGAGTATCTTCTGGGCACTCTGGCAGGAGGAGCTGCTGATTGCGTGTACTGGGATCGTGTGCTGGCAAAGGAGTGTCGCCTCCATGAATTGCGCAACCGAGAGCGCATCTCTGTGGCTGCGGCCAGTAAGATCATGGCCAACATCATCTTCAACTACAAGGGAATGGGGCTCAGTATGGGAATGATGTTGGCGGGATACGATAAGAGAGTAAGATAGTCACCAAAAACCACTAAGAATGCCCTATTTACATGGATATTTGGTGTCTCTAGGGGCCTGGACTCTACTACATCGACTCCGAGGGCAGCAGGACTCCCGGCAAAGTCTTCTCTGTGGGCAGTGGATCAGTTTACGCCTACGGAGTCTTGGATTCTGGCTATAAGTGGGATCTGAAAGAGGAGGAGGCGTACGAGCTCGCTCGCCGGGCCATTTACCACGCCACCCACAGGGATGCGTACTCTGGAGGCATCATCCGAGTCTACCACATGACCAAGGACGGCTTCATCCACATCAGCGATGAGGATTGCATGGATCTCCACTACAAGTATCAGGAGGAGAAGCTCCAGAAGTACGGCCCGTAGGTTAATGTGAAATCCAATATTTTCTACAATAAAATTATTCTATCTTGAACCTTCGAAAGCATTTTCCTCGGCATTTTCTGGATATTTTGTTGAGATTCAGTGACGTCAAAACTTAACGAAAAGTGGGGAAACAATGGAAACTCGGGAGTCGCGCCACTTTACTGCGTATTATTCAGTCTTTTAATTGGCTTTTGACTTCTTTTTCTGCACTATTGCATGTGAATTGTGTGCAAGAGTTATAAATCTTCCATATGAAGAATAAAGTGAGACAATTCTGGTGATAAACAAAAAGTTATTGCACTGATAAGCACGTGATTGTTTGGTTATGTGTTTTGTTTACATCCCCCCAAAGTGGCCAATTTTTCTTGCATTTTCTTTTAACACATTTCACCTGAAAATTGTGAATAATGCTAAAGACACTGTACACTAGATTGCTCTCCAGACGACGGTCTGCCATTCTAAACAGTCGGCAGAGAAATCCAATTGCGATAAGTGAAGGAATTCCTGGAAATCTGAGAAGCAATTTTTGCATCTCTGCTGTTGAGTCCGGAAGTTTACTCTCTGCAACAATATCAGTGCCAAATATCAAGAGGGTGATCAAGAACAGCGGATTGGAGTGTGAGGATGGTTTCAGCTGTATCCGGACTGTGTGTCCTGTTTGCACAGACAAAGGAGATCATCGCGAAAGCATCTATATCAATAAAATCACAGGTAAAGTGGAGTTGAAAAGTATTCTCATCAATTTTCCTTCATCTTTCTGACTTCTTTTTTCAGGAAACTTCACTTGTCCAGCTTGTCAGCATTTGGGGAATTGGAATACAATTGAAAAATTCTTCCTGAATGGGAAAACAGTGAGAAACACAAAAGAAATGGGAAGATTTCGCGAGAATTTTTTGAATTCTAAGGGAAAAAAGACTGAAGTGAGCTTTCCTGATGGTCTCAATCCCACTAATGCGGTGAATTCAGCGCAGATGAAGAGTTTACTTGAGGACATAGGTCTTCCTACGGAAGTGGAAACTATTCTCATGAGTCAAGGCGCCCAAATATCATCAAATCTTAATGAGATTTTTCTCCCTCTTCGTGATGTGACTGAAACTGTGGTGGGATACAAAGTCTTCTCTGTGGAGAATCACTCAGAACGCACAATTCCTGATAACAATTGCTCAGGCGTATTAATGCACAAACCCACAACAATTGGCAACAGAAAGGACTCACAGAATGCCATCCTCGTTCTCAATATCCTGGATTTTCTCACGCTGGCCGTGTCGAAGATCAACTACGTGATCATTTGTCTACCTCACGGACTCAAGTCTCTGCCGCAGCAGTGCCTGCCGGTGATGGAGAGATTCCAGAAGCTGGTGCTGTGGTTCAACCACGACTCTGCTGGCTGGGATACAGCTCGTCACTTTGCCAAGAAACTGGAGGAGAAGAGGTGCCTCTTTGTCAGGCCCACCGAAGCCCATCCAACGCCCTTTTGCGCCCTTTGCCACGGACTGGATCTCAAGGGGATCCTCAGTAAGGCAGAACCTGTGCTCCACAAAGCCATCACGACGTTCAGTGCTCTGCGGCAAGATGTTCTCAGTGATCTGCAGAACATTGACAAAGTTCAGGGAGTGAAGTGGAAAAGATATCCTACGCTCAGCAAACTGCTGAAAGGACACCGGAAGGGAGAGCTGACTGTCCTCACGGGTCCAACTGGATGTGGCAAGACGACTTTCATGTCTGAGTATTCGCTGGATTTGGCTCTGCAGGGCGTGACGACGCTCTGGGGCAGCTTCGAGATCCGCAACACACGCCTCGCGTCAACGTTGCTGCGACAGCTGGCTGGGCAGCGTTTGGATGAGAATCTCAGTGCCTTCGACGCGTGGGCGGACGCTTTCGAGAAGCTGCCCATGTACTTCATGACCTTCCACGGACAGCAGCCCATCAAGGTGGTGATGGAGGCGATTGAGCACGCTCAGTACGTGCACGACATCCACCACGTGATCATTGACAATGTCCAGTTCATGATGGGCACGTCGGAGGAGAATCGACAGGTGGATCGCTTCTGGCGACAAGATGCCATCATCACGGCGTTCCGCACGTTCGCCACGCGCAAGAATTCCCACGTGACACTCGTGATTCATCCGCGAAAGGAGCGCGACGCCGAGGATCTCACCACGAGCAGCATCTTCGGCAGTGCCAAGGCCAGCCAAGAGGCGGACAATGTGCTGATCATTCAGGACAAGCGACTCACGTCGATCCGCGGGAAGAAGTACCTGCAGGTGGCGAAGAATAGGTTCAGCGGGGACTTGGGCGTGATGCCGCTGGAGTTCGACAAGGAGGCGCTCAGCTATGCGCAGAAGAAGAAGAAAGCAGCAGAAGAGAAAGATCGCGATGAAGCGATAAGAGACTAAACATTTCTCTCAGTTTATTATTAAATATATATTTACAACAAATTCTTAGCTTTTTTTTGCATTAATACATCACACCTTCATGGGTGGTTTTTTCATTGCATAAATCTTTAAAATATTCAACTTTTTGTTAACACTAAATTTCGAACGCAGTAAAAAGTCAACTAATCTTGCGCACTACTGGAGCGTCTCTCTGTTTTTTTTTCTTTTTCTTTTAAACCTCTGTCCATTCTTGCAGAAAAAGGCCACAAATTCCTCACTATGTTTTCATTCCTTTCGCACCTCTAGCATCCTTAGTTTCCTCTCCTTAAAGAAGGATGTTATGTAAATTGATTCTGAATTATTGCTGGATTCAGAAGAAAGGTTGAAATTAAAGTTCATCTTAAAAAGAAGGTGATTTTAGCCCTCCCACTTATCGTCCTAATGATTTTTGTAAATAATAGTATTGATATTATAAAGAATCCTTAAATCACGATTTCTCTAAACAATTTTCTTTTTTTTTCTTCTCTTTAACAAGTAAAAACAGCCTTTGAACTCTGACTCTCCTTCAGATCTTTGGTTTTTGTGCTCTGCAAGCCCCTCAGGCTCTTCCAACCAATTCTCTATCTTCGATCTGTCCAATCTACAGGAGTAGCCTGATAAATTCTGCAAAAAGTCATTCAAGACACAGTGAATTCTGTGAGACATTTGTGGGCAGTGCGACAAAATACCTTCATAGTTGATTCGGCCGTCTTTATCTAAGTCCGCCAGGGCCAGCATTTCCGTGAGTTGGGCCTCAGTGACGGTCTCCCCAATCATATCCATGGCTGTTTGCAGCTCATCTCTCGTGATGAAGCCATTTCCATCGCGATCAAACACCCTGTTCGAGGGGAGAAACACCCGAAAATGTGTAAAATGCGTGAAAATCAATATTTTATTGGGAAAGGGATGTGTTGTGCAACACACACGCTCTGCTCTCAATCGCTCCCCCAGACAATTGTCCTGCGAGAAACAAGCGGAGTCATTGTGCAAGAAATAAAAAAGGCACAACATACCGAAAAGCAGCAATCAGATCCTGCGTGATATCATCCTCTTCACTCACTGGCTGGTTGCTGCTCGCACTGCTGCTACTCGACGCGGATTCATCTTTGATGGCCTGAATGCGAGCGATCCACTGAAGAAACTCCGCTTCATCTATTAATCCATTTCCTGATGAAGGAAAAAGCCGAGGAAATGAGGGAGAAAAAACAATTTTATTGCAGAGATTGATATTGAAATTCACGCCGTATTTTCTGTCTGGCTGTGTTTTTTTTTGTTGTTGTTCTTGTAGGTCAAATGAAGAGTGAGAGAGTGTGGCAATGTTATTGGCAATCGAGAGAAATTGACCCTTGTCTTGTCATGGTTTTTCATCATTGTCAAAATATCCGCAAGTTTCTTTCATCAGGACGAGAGTTGCGAAGGGAGTAGATTGAAGATTGATTGGAGAAACTTTTGTGCCTATTTGGGCCACTCTTAAAGTCTATATGAATTTAAAAATGCACGGAAAAATTTGTGTTAGTTAAACTTGAAGTGAATCTTGTGTACTCTTGACGTCCTTGAATGCCGTGAAATTGAATCACTCGTCGCCAATTCCCCGTGAGGCATATTCACTTGTCGTTTGAAATTTTCCTACCCTCTCTTCTTCACCATGAATCTTCGTCAGTGGCTTGTTTTCTTGTTAAACGTGCACCTTGTATTGAAATTCAATTTTCCCTCAGTCTCATCACAGAGGCGAAAACATACTTGAGGGTGCGGAGAAGACATAAAAATTGGCTGTGACATGATGAAAAGATGTCAGGATGCATCTCCGCGTGTGTTTTTTCCTCTCTTCCTTTTGCCTCAGCGTCCTCGGAAATCTATTTTTTTCTCTCCTCCCGACTGTGTGTATTTCCCTCACCTTTCACTGCACACGCCGTGCAACAAGGAAGTCCTCCAGAACTCGGAGAAGCTCGTGGCAAATTTATAAGCGATTTCCTCATGATACTCCTGACGTGATTAAGTGTTGGGGTGGAGAACGTGAGAATCGTGCTTGTTCTGATTATATAATTTTCGGTGCAAATTGCATTTCTCACTCTCCAATGCTGTTCTTGCAGCATTTCACATTTTATTATGCACCTTCACTGCGCGAATCACGACCTCGAGCCACAATTCCGTACACATTTGCCAGCAAAATTTTTACCCACCGATTTTCCGCTTCTCCCTGGTCTTTTTTTTCTTTTTTTCACCCACTCTCTGTTGAAACTCCGATGGGAGCCACTCGAGGGGGATTTTTATTGCAACAGCACATATACAAGTGGAAAAAAATACTCCTAAGAGGATTTTCTCAGCGTCGTTGAGTAATAAAAAGAGTGAATTTTTCAGACAACTTCACGTATAAACGCTTGATTTACCTCTCTCGTGTTAATTATCTTATCGGACGGGTAGAAAAACAACATGCTGAATGCTTACAGCACTCGAAGAAGTCACCATGGGAATAGTATTTACGCAACAATGACCCTTCGGTTGGAGAGGGAAAGAGAGAAGCTTAAAGTTGATGAAATAGTTTCTGCAAAGTACTTTGGCTTCGACCTTTGATCCTCACATTTCGCTTAATGTTATTGCTGATTTATCCTTCTTGTCTTGGAAGCTCACGTTTTTGCCTCTTGTGCACAGAGATAGCAAAAAGGATTCTCACTTAGTTGAAATTCCTCCAAAGTACTCGACAAGAACTAATATTTTAAATATTCCATGAGCTTTCGCAATCCTTTCGTGGCAAAATCCCACCGTTGAATGTGCCTTTTTTTTATTCCACCCGCTGGCAATATTCTCAGCAAACTCACTCGTGCCATGATTTTCCCGCATGTGAGTAGTGAAAAATATGCTTTGACGCTCACGAGGAATGCGCGCCTCTCGCCTGAGGCACGAAATGTCTTATCTTCTTGGCTTTTAGGGCTTGAGCCGACGGCATTAGGGCGCAAGAAGTGCCTTCTGAGAAATGCGTAATCACATGCTTTCGAGGATTTTGTAGTAAAAACTGAATTAGCATTTCAGGCAGTCTGTTGAGAATTTCCCAAATAATTTCGACGACCCTGAAAGCTCTCTGTCATATTGAGAGATCACGCCGTTGTGATTTATTTTCACGTTTAGAACCGTGTGTGAATTTGAACTTGGATTTATAATGTAGTTGCGAAGAGGTGGGCGTGAATTTATTTTACCATCCACTTTGGGGTGGAGAAATCACAAATTTGCGTGTCTCCACCATTCCACCCTCGCGAGTACACGACTTTTATAGCTCCACACCATATTGTCTGACACCTCGCCGGCGATTTGGGCAGCAAACCTCCGGAGGCATGATCTACAGCATGTTGAACTGTTTCCCAGCCCGCAAAACCACCCATTCGTGGGGGGAAATTAGCAGTCAAACGATTTTATGGTCATCCTTGAAATCACTGCTATAGTGTTGGTTAAAATCAAGGGGAAGATAATACGTCTTCCATCTGTACAACACTTCCTGACACTTTTAGCACTTAAAATTTTTATACGGTGTGCAAAAATTTTTCAAATTATAATTGATTTCTGATATAATCCATTTAAAAGCGCTTTTTCAAGTATATTTCCGATCATAACCTAAAAATATCAATAAAAAATAATTATTTTTTCGGTTATGTTCGACTTCAAGACAATTTGAAGCGTTTCTGGTTTACTTCTTGGCATCAAAGGTTCAGAATAACTATGACTGTTGATTTTTACGACTTTAGTACAAGAATTAATGTGATTGAATGCGAATTATTCAATAAATCTGTCTTAGATTCAACACATAATCTATAAAAGAATTAATATGATTGTTTCTATACAAAAAATCAAAAGAAATCCACAGAATTGGGATGATTTGTTAGCAAAAGAAGCACTTCTAAGATTTCCTAATACTTCCTCTGGGTTGTACACCACTTCTGACTATATTATCTCCCCCTTGGTTGAAATAGTGAAAGAACTTTTGTGAGGATGAGTTTTCCTTCATCTTTGTAGTGGTTTTTCCATGGGGTGGAATTTAAAGACTTCAGTGACTTTTTCCTCGGCTTCTCCACTATCTTTGCAAAGCACGATGGCAGTTCGGAAGTGTGGGACAAAGTTTATGGCGCTAATGTGTGGCGACAGAAAGCTTTTCGCCCTTGAAAGTCTCACCAGTCTCACCTGTGCGACTGGCTTCCTTCATGAGGTCATCTATCAACTCATCCCGCACATGAATGCCCAGATTGTGGAGCATAAATTGCAGCTCATTGGCCGTGACATGGCCATCCTGGTTGCGATCGAGGAGGTCAAATGCCGTCCGGAGATCTGAAATGAGAGTAAAAAATAATCTTGTTATCTCGTCTCTCTTATAGAAAGTTTTATACAAATTTACCCATAGTGTGAATAATATTACTAAGTGAATTCCCTGCGGTCCTAAAGCTCATTTTGCTGACAATCTTGTACAGCACAATCCCCGAAAAATAGGACACACACACTTTTGTCATGCTGTGCTGCAAATGGGAAATTCAACAGCGCACCAGAAGATTGGAGAGGAACTCATAAGATGTGCGGAGAGGCTAATTTCCATGTGTAAAACTCTCTCTACCTTCCTCGCAGCACAGATGATGATATTTGATTAGAAGCACTCTTTAGGGCACTTGAGAGGCACTCTCAGGCTGGCGTGTACGTTTGCAATGTGCGCCAAAAGCCATTGTAAAATGCTATGAGCGTGTAACATGAGATAAGAAGTTGTGATTTCAAATGACTCTGCCCTGAGTCAATTTATATCCATCTATCGTGTACACTGTCGCTAATCAAATCTTATCAGTTTGCACTGTTTTTTGTGTACTGCGCTCTGTGTGTGACCCAACAACGCCAAACAATGCTGTAAATTCCCGACAGCAAACACACAACTTGTGGGCCAGAGATGGCATTGTTTGGGAACCCATCGAAATTGCGGCAAACAGCGTGACAATTCCACCGCCGCACTCCTCCCGGCGGCGGCTATTTACCAGTAAATAGCATCACAGCATTTGCCATTAATTTGGGACTATGTCCTCCCTCACATCGGCATGGCGAGGGGCTTTTAATTGGGCTTCACCACTTGGAGTTGTAGAAAATGTTTGCTCTTAATATCAGCACTACGTGACAATGCTGTGTGTTCGCATCGAAGGGGGCAATTTAGGGACTCGCTTTTGAACTCTCACGCCGCAGCACACCTCCAGACGCGGAGGGAGAAGGAGAGAGAAAGTCACCTTATTTCGCCAAGAACCCATCTTTCCGCCATTCACTATAAATCATATTAAATTATTCATTTGCTAATAATAAATTGCGAGGAAATTCGCTCATGAGCCTCTCAGTGGAGTTAATGGATTGCAAACAGTTGCTCCAATTTGGCACAATCTCTCGCCTAAGATCATTTAATTGAAATTATATGCAAATAACTTTTCAATTCAGAGGCAAATTACCTCATTTCACGACTAACTTTTTGCTGAATTTTGTCACAGCAATTTTTATACCTTAAGAGATTCACAATAAATTTCAATTGCATGTGAAATTGATTGGGTTTTCTATGATCAATTTATTCACTCTCTGTCATCGTGAAACTATACTTAAATGCCTTGCAATTAATTTTGCCGTACTTTCAGTATAAAAACAACGTAAATCGATCAATCAACAAACCCATCCAAGAGATCGATTAACATTTCGGCAAAAGCAATTGGATTAAATGGAGATTTTCCTCAAGGATAAATAACTGCCACAACAGTTGGATTGAGGCGTGTGAGTGGAGGATTAATAAGTGAAGATGAAGAGTGAGAATTTTAGGGATATCTTTCCATTGTAAGTCGAAGACATTCTCAGCATTATTGTCACCAATAAATTTGATGGTGGCGACATAAAACATCCTTTCTGCTGAATGATGAATGGAGTGTGTCTCTTCCCATTTTCCCGCTCACACCTTATCCTGCTGTGGCTTTTGTGGGAATGGGTTTTGTGTGTTTGTGTGTGTGTGTGTGCCGAGGATTTGTGGTTTTTGCCTTTCATATCCGCATGTCTCTGTTTTTGCCGAAGTGAGACGCACTTGAGCATTTCTCACTTAACATCCGTTTTGTGGGCATTTTGTCATCATTCCCCCCAAAAAATGGGATATTTCGACGCATTTCGCTGTATTATTTACCCAGGGCAGTAAAACCAGATAGCGCAATCCCTCTGGGTTATACACATCCTTTCATCACAGTTTGGTTGATGGGGGGAAAATACATGCGGAGCTTTTATTGTTATTGCATATTTTCTCTCCTTATATGACAATTTGGTAGCACAAACATGACAAATTTACATTGGAATCGCCCTCGAGCGCTCGATGTGGGAAGAATCAAGAGAAAAATAGAGAAATTTCAGATGGATTCACTTCATTTCTGTGCATCCAATAAGCTTGGCAAAAATTCTAAACTGCCACCCCATCGGAAAATCTATTCAGGACGCGTCTCAGCGTGGCTCATTCACTCTCAATTGATGTCTTCTCTTTGTCTCTCATGACTTGTGAAGACCACAAATGTGGGAAGCGATATGCATTCTAATGGCATAAATCACGAAATTTTCCAATGCACTATTTTTGTCATGAGGATTAAATTTTAGAGAAAACTTTTCCACAGACACATTTGATAAATAGGCAGAGATAAGTTTATTGGGTGGGGGAAGAAATGAAGGAAATATTTACCTCGAATCTCGGCATTTTTGACATATGGCTTATTCATGACTTCACATAAAATTGCAATAAGAAGTTTATGGTGGGAAAAGTTTGGTGGAATTGTTCTTATGCAATTATCACTTGTGGCAAAATTGCGCCTTCACACTATATATATAAGACTTGAGGTGGAGCGAGAGTCACACGAGCTTCAGCGAAAAGCGTCCAGCGAGCGCGGAAAGCTGCTGAGAACTAAACAACAAACTCATTTCTGTCCCTGGTCTTCGGGTGAAAACTGTTCAGTTCTCTCTCCAAAAAGAAGAGCGAATGGAGAAGAGAGAGAAGCAACATTGAGGAAATTCTACATAGAATTTCCACTCTCTCTCTGGCTGTGAGAGAGAAAAACATTTGGGATATAAAGTTTATATGAAGAAATTAATGTATGATGCACATTTTTCATGAAAATCCGCATGAAATAATTTTTCCAGATGAAAAAAGCTTAGAGTCCGTGAAAATTCCACCCATGAATTCTCAGCATTTCCACCGCTTTGTGCCATCTTTGGAGGATTGTTTGGTCGAATTAAATTCCGCTGTCTGTCTCAAATCTCTTGTTTTGCCCACACAAACATCACAGACATTCATTACAGTCCATCACCACCCTATCCTT